TGATTTGATTGGGACTTAATCTTGCAGCCCTACTTCCATGAAGTGTCTTGCTCAAGAACACAACTACTGTTACACTGTTTTAACTTTTTCTGATGTTGTGGCCGAAGAAATTCAGTATTAGCATGTAGTGTTTAGGGATGGGCATGATTAGTCAAATAATCGATAAGTGATCATTAAGAATCACATTCATTTTTAATCAACAAACCGAACGTAGACGCTGTGCTGCGTCTGACAGCACAAACACTGAAGTTGCGTCCTCACAATCCCACGTTTGGGCTCTGACACCTCCTTGGAGACAATGAACCACTCAGTGAGTTTGTTTACATGCACATCAGTGTCCCGGATATGATCGGGTTTTTTGAGTATCTCGGTTTTGTCATGGTGCATGTAAACGTAGTACCCGGTTACTGCAACATAACGTTGAGTGCACATGCGTACAAAAGACAAACACTTTTCAGCCTTTTCATCACAACAGTAGCCAAAATAAAATGACCAACATAAATAAAGTGAGTGAAATGACTGTTAAATAAAGAGCTGCGCTAAACCTGCACACGTCTGATCTCTGAAAACATGAACCATCTCCAACGCGATACAGAAACAGACTCCATTCATCATCATTTTGTCAATATCCACAAAGTTGCATACAGTAAAGTCTGCAGTCCAAAAAGATTATAATCATGCATAATCATCGAATGCAAATGATGAAATGTGTCAAAGATGCATTCAATAATCGTGGTTATGTGGCTGGTTATGGTTTATACGTTGTAAAGTTGAGTTTATTCATGCAGATTAGTAATAGTAATAATAATGGTGATAATTTTAATATAAAAACTAGGGGTGTCAAATTATCGCGTTAATTGCGATTAATTAATTACAGTCATATTTAGCGCTTATGTTTTTAATCGCGTTAATCTCATTTTTTAATCTCTAACTTTAGTGTTTCTGTATGCGAGTTGCTTTATTAATAAAAACCTTTTTATGTGTTGTTTGGGGACAAACAACAACCACACACACACACAAAAAAAACACATTATAAATTTTTTTATTTCGGTAATTCCACTCATTGCCGGAAACCCACACAAAACGCGCACAGTAAGAGCGCAATGTAAACAGTCATGTTCACAGTTTGCGGCGTCGAAGTCACAGTGACAGGTCGAAAAGAGCACAGTCCAGGCATTTGTGTCTTGGAAATTCTTCTCCCGACGTGAAATATAAAAGAAAATAACAAATATAAAATCGCCTACAACTTAAATGTCACTGGTGAAAACAACCTGCATAGGCTCATGATGTCTGCACTACTGTCCTATAGTGACCTGCCAACATGAGGGGACACGACAGGCACACAAATACAAACAACACACACACACGCACCACATAAACATGACACACGCGCACCCCCCAACATTTAGAACACTGCTCCATTGCTCCGCCGGATCGTGTTTTCTTACGGGCGACCGCGCTTGTGCGCCACCAGCTTTCCTAATCAGTCCAAAACTCTACTAAAAGCAGAACTAAACCAGAAACTGCAGAAATCAACCAGGAACTAAAACCAGTCCATTCCAGACTCTCAGGATTAAAACTTAGAGCTAAAGCAGTCTAAACCAGAGACTAAAAGGGACTGGACTAACAGGTGATAAAGCTTAAATGACACTCATGACTATCAAATTTCATATATAATTACCTATAGTAAATATATTAATTTTCTTATAAAAGAATCTAACTTTTGTGCACTAATAAATAGATAATGCTTTTTCAGCAATTTTTAATTAACTAACTGTACCCCATCTAAAGCTCGCCATGGTTCCCAGTCATATACCAGAACTATTTTTAAACCAACATTAAAAAAGACAACAATCAAAATTGAGCGCACCTGAATATAAGGCGCATCAACTAAAATTTAAGAGAAACTGGACATATATAGGCCCACCGCATAGAAGACACCGGTCTCAAAACAAAACAGAAGCAAATTGAGTATTTAACCCCTGTAACTGAATATCTCTTGGATTACTTGATTGCTGTTGAGAGCAAAAAGATGAGAGAATCATAACATTTTAAGAAGTTTGTCTGCTAAAAAAAATAAAAAGGTAAAATTTTAACTGATTAAAAATATTATTGATAAAGAGGAGGAGACACATCCGCGCAGCATGATTAGTCCTGTTAAATCCTGTTTGGACTGGTTTATCCTGGTTTGGAGTCCTGTTTTAGTCCTGGTTTTAGTCCTGGTTTTAGTCCTGGTTTTAGTCCTGGTTTCGTCCTGGTTTCGTCCTGGTTTCGTCCTGGTTTAGACCTGGTTTTAGTTTGTTTTAGTCCTGGTTTTAGTCCTGGTTTTAGTCCTGGTTTTAGTCCTGGTTTTAGTCCTGGTTTTAGTCCTGGTTTTAGTCCTGGTTTTAGTCCTGGTTTTAGTCCTGGTTTAGTCCTGGTTTAGTTTAGACCTAGTTTAGACCTAGTTTAGACCTAGTTTAGACCTGGCTTTAGACCTGGTTTTAGACCTGGTTTAGTGTCCAGCAATGAGTGGAATTACCAAAAAATAAAAAATAAAATGAAAACAGGAAAATACCTCTGTGTAATCCGTTTATTTCAACAAAGTAACTGTAATCCAATTACCACTCACTGAATACAGTTACTCATAATTTGTACTCTGATTACGTAACTCTGGTACATGTAATCTGTTGCTCCCCAACACTGCTCACGTGCAACAGTTCTTTTTCCTTCTTCCACACCCACATTAATCGCCGTTAACTTAAAAGCTGCATCATCTGCATTTCTTCGTGTATTTTCCATGAGGGTGTGTGTATACGAAGCGCAAAATAACTGTTCAAAACACAATCAAACGAGCATTTTCCTCAGCGCATCACCCCCGTCTCTCCCCGTGCTCTATGACTGAATTTACGGTACTCAATTTCTTGTGACCACGCTTCCATTTTGATAAGGTAGCTCACTAGAGGAAAAAGGTTGAAGACATCTGTCAAATTCTGGAGACAAATTTGTAATCAACAGTGGTCAACAATGCATTAGTACCATCTTAAATACCTAAAAAAAACAGGAGAAATACTAATACCAAACATAAATGCTACCTGCCGTACTTGAGGAGTGGTAAGGTATCATAAATATAACACCAAAACCATACTGCTATAGTAAAAAAATAAATATATATATATGGCTTTCAATCAGCAACACAGAAAATACAGGATTGTAGAGCAAAGCCTTGAATTCAAAATCCATAAATTGATAAGTGACAATTTGAAACCATTAGCTTTTCATTCAATTAACATTCAATAAACTGCACCGCCCTGTACTCGAGACAAGTCAGCAACAATTAAATAGAATAATCATGACAAGTGGACTGTTAAAATATCTATAGTTGTCATATTTTGAGTATTGTTATTGTTTTCTAGACTACACAAAACACATATGCCCTTTTATAACAAAGACCACAGAATTGCTGCCATCATTATATTAATAAGATTAGGAAATATAAGTGTTAAACTGCAGCCTAAACCCTTTCAGTCTCTATCAGTGGAGCTGATTTATTTCTTTTTTTTTTTTTCAAATTATGCCTGACCAAAGACAATAAACTAACAAAATGTCAACAAGATTAAACGACTGCAGATTTTCAGCCATAATAGAGTGTTGTAGTAAATATTCTGTATTTATACGCCTTCTGTCACCACATTTCAGCTTTTATTTAATTAAAAATGTAAAAACTTAAACTAATATTTACAGGCAAACTGACAACTAAAACAATCACAATTTTCAGCTGTACCTACATAGGCCTGTTATGATGATAAATACTACAGAGAAATATTGCGATAAACAATGATATTGAAACTACTAGGTATGTAACAGTAACCGAAATATCGTGATATCGTATCGTCAAGAGTGTCACAATAATATCATGAGATGTCACAATATATCGAATCACAAGTTCCTTTACTTAAAATGCAAGGTTTTACAGTAGCAGCAGCTTATAAATAGAGAACTACATATCCCATGATTCATTTCAGTGCAGACAACCTGAATTTATATGTTTTTTACTTGAATTCTTGGGATTATGACGGTAATAATTCCAAACCAAAATCTTGTCAAGGTATTTTAAAAGCAAAAATGTGTCCTATCTACAATTCTATTAGCGTCTCCAAAATATCGCAATAAATATCGTACCGAGAGATTTGGATATCGTTACATCCCTAGAAAATACTACCTCTGACTCAAAGCAGGATAATCTTAGTAAAATAACTTTAAAATAGTATCATTGTACGGCATGAGCTGAAACAAATAAACAAAGAATGAATCAATATTTAATAGGGATGTAACGATATCCAAATCTCTCGATACAATGTTATCACGATAAGCATCTCACGGTGCGATATTTAGTGCGATATTTTGGAGGATAATAGAATTGTAGATGGGACTCTTTTTTGCTTTTAAAATACCTTGACAAGATTGTGGTGTGAATTATTTCCATCATAATCCCATGAATTCAAGTAAAAAAACATATTTCTTCATGTTGTTTGCACTGAACTGAATCATGGGAAATGTAGTTCCAGATGTTCATAAGCTGTTGCTACTGTAAGACAAGGCATTAAAGCAGGGGAACTTGTGATTCGATATATTGTGAGATCCCACAGTATTATTGTGAGACTTTTGACGATACGATATCACGATATTTCGGTTATTGCTACATCCCTCATGTTTAGCCATAGAAGTTGTTTATTCTACTCTCTACAGCTCAAGTCTTACATTATTGCATAAAAACGGCAAAACTCTCACAACGTTTGCAAAGAAAATGTACACATGATAAATATTGAGCCCAAAATATATAGTTCCAGCTGTCATATATTGAACAGTAAGTAGATATAGTAATTATCATGACAGGCCTATCCCTACACAAATCTCTTAGACAGCCGCCCCTCCCCTCTCTTTCTCTTTCTCTCTTCTGTATTCACCCTCACAGACACATTATGATGAGACATAACACCGACTCCTCCTCTGGGCCGTACCTGAGCTCCCTTCATGATCTTCTTGGCTTTGGCGTTGAGGTAGAAGTCTCCCCACAGAGTCTTCTGCAGCACCTCCGCCCTGACCCCCAAACGCTCGCTGTAGATCTTAGCAAACTGCTGGATGCTGCAAGACACAAAATTATACAGACAATATTAAATCACACCTGAGAGTACAGCTGTGAAATCAGAGGAATAAAATCTGAACTATCTGGGAATACGTCAACTGTTTGCATTTACATCTTTAAAGGTGCACTGCGGAACTTTACAACTCGAGGCTCCATCGCCTGTTTGTATCTATGGAGATGTTATTGATTTGGTCGGGAACTTTCTACTACACTTATGCGTAGTGATGTGGTCAAGACCGCACTAATTGAGACCAAGACCTGTCCGAGACCACAGGGTCCTGAGACCAAGATAAGACCAAGACCTCTGAGGGCCGAGACCGAGACAAGGCCGAGACCACGGTCCATCGAGACAAAATTGAGACCATCTTTATCATTTTCGACATTTATTTGTATTTTATTTTGGCACTTATCTCCATTTTATCACTCGTTGAGACTGAGACAAGACCGAGTCCAAGCATAGTCAAGACGGAGAAGACCAAGTCCAAGCACCTTCAAGCCCGAGTCAAGGCCGAGTCCATGCACCTTCAAGACCGAGAGAAGACCGAGTCCATGCACCTTCAAGACCGAGACAAGACCAAGTCCAAGCAATTTCAAGACCGAGACAAGGCCGAGTCCATGCACCTTCAAGACCGAGACAAGACCGAGTCCAAGCAACTTCAAGACCGAGACAAGACCGAGACCAAGCGCTTTCAAGGCCGAATCAAGACCAAGTCCAATCCCCTTGAAGACTTAGAAAAGGCCAAGTCCAAGCGCTTTCAAGACCGAGACAAGACCGAGTCCAATCGCCTTCAAGACTGAGACGAGACCGAGTCCAAACGCGGTTGAGTCCCAGAGGAGACAAAGACCGTAAAAAACAGTCTCGAGGTCAGTCTCAAGACCAAGACCGATCTCGAGTACCACAACACTACGTATGCGTCTCTATGGGGACTTCACGAGGCAATGTTACAGGTCAGATCTGTGAAGAGACGACCCCAGTAAGAGTAAAATAATGTGTTTTCAAAGTATTTTTTCAATTCAAAGACCCATAATGAAATAAATGCTAGATAGAAGTGTAACATTCCAGGCAAAGCAATAACATCTCTATGAAAACAAGCAAGTGACAGACCAGAAAAGCTTTTCAGTGCACCTTTAATTACACAAGTACTTTACGTTGGCCTTATGTATGAATGCACTATGTACTTGAATTCCCTCAGTATTTTAAATCAGCAAGGTTGGTTCTTTCTATAGTTCACTTTGTGCTGCCTGGGCCTTTCTTTACAGAGCTTGCATCCTCTCTCTGTGTCTGTGTCTGGGTGGGTTTCCTGTGGGCAGTCCAGTTTCCGGCATTAACCCAAAAAATCCTCCAGCTAAAAGCTAGTCCTGACCAACCCTTGCAACAACATCTGGAGATCAATTAAGAAAACTAAACTGGAGAAAGAAGTACAGTGCAGAGCAGTGGGCGTACGTCGGTGGTGGTGAAAAAAGGGTTGATCAGCAATATGACGTCTTGAAAATAAGTGATTAAAGATGACTCAAACACGCATGAATCACTCCAAATATAATTTCGAGAGGGTAAATCTGAAGGGGAAACACGTATATCATGGTTGAAAGCTGAAAAGTCAATATTGCTTTGCTTTAACATTGACTTTAAAACAAAATTAAACATCACCACCAACAGATCAACATTTAAAACCAGTAAAAAAAAATGTGGAGACCAACTTTCAATAGATTTTTTTTCTTCAACAAACTAAAACAAGTTGCATGCTTAGGTATAAACACATATTTCTTCTTAAGTTATAGATGTAAATTGCTTAAAATGTGTGATCTAATTAATAAAAATAAAGTAAAGCAAGTAAATGTTCATCTTACAGGCATTCAAAACCCAAGCCACACAGGCAAATGTGAATTACGTAAGAGGGTTTGTCACACCTTATTTACATATATTTAAGTTCCAATCTGCTTTGTGTGATCTAATCAAAACCCAGCGAGCCACACAAGCAAATATGAATTATGTAAGAGGGTTTTTTGGTAACTTTCTGAGCACCAAAACCCTCAGTAAACATGTCTCAAGTGGTCACTGAGAGGCTGTTCATTTATCGGAACAAGGGCCTTAATCACAATAAGGAGAAAGAAATATTAAAATATGTGGAGCTGGGTCATTTTCCACTGACACACTTGACATGAGAATAATTGCTTCACTAATGTGAAAACACATTTGGAGAGAGGTTTTGAATAAAGGTGGTGGGCTGGTGGTTAGAGTAGTAATGAGTAGTGGTCATGTAAGTGTACAGTTACTTCAAAATAATACTGCTCAAGTAGAAGTACATAGCAGCGGAACAAAAAAATAAATAAAAGTCAGAATAAAAAAGTATTTAAAGAAACGGCTTCTCAGTTAATTGTAAAAGTAACAGTGTGGACGTAACATCTGATTTTTTCTTTTGAACTTAGGGCCTGTTTACACGGGAACACTTGCAAGTAAAAACGTGAAAATATTTTATCTGAAGTGCGTTTCGTTTGGACGGTGGCGGTGTTTTGGAGGCTTAAAGGTTGTATAGAAGATTTTCCAAGGAAAGAGAAATGCAGCGACTGTTTGTCCTTTTTTAAATGTTGCGCTTCGCTCCTTTTCCCCTTCTCTTCTTCTTTCAGCATCAAAAATCATCAAAAACTGACACTTTTTTGCGGCGAACTGGTCGTGAATTCTTGTCTGCCATTAAAACAAAATTTGTGCAAACTGAAAGGAAGCAACAGTTCGAAAAAGACGCCAAGAACCGCTGTGCTGGTTGAGTAAACGGCATCGGTGCGTGAGAGGCGAACATAAACCACGCAATCCCAGCGCGTCAGCAAGTCAGAAAGGTAGAAACGTAGGGAGTCTGATTGACAACCTAACAGCCAATAGATAAAGAGGGAGCCTCGTTGTCTATTGGCTGATGTTTATTTGCCCCCACCACGTCCACAGTTGATGGATTTTTTTTTTGGTCATCATAATTATAAGGCTGCTGCATCTCTATAATTCTATTTTTAACTTTCATTGACAATTTGAAACAAACAAACAAACAAAAAACAAAATCCTCCATGCAACCTTTAAAAACCCAAAAATCTGAAACCACCCTCCAGAGTGGAAATGTTGAATACGCATCAAATTCCACACACTTTTGCGTCACCGTATGCACGCAGATTTCCTCCCGAAAACGCTCGTCTAAATGCAGAATAAAAAGTGAAGACACGAAGAAGGAGCTGGAGGATGATTCTGGGGTGAAGGAAGTCTGGGAGACACTGCTTATACTGCTGCCCTCGCAACCCGGTCCAGGATAAGCGGAAGAAAATGGATGGATGGACAACACCACCTTTGCATCTTCTGTTCAGACCATCATCACATAAACCTTGCCTTAAACTGTGTAACTTCTCTGGTGAAGGGTCTACCACCTGCTTGTTTTCATGGAGATATTAATACATTTTGCCTTGATTATTAAACAGTATGGACACAGAAACTTAGTCATCACAATGGAAACAAGTTAATGGTCAGATCTATGCAGAAGCAAGCCTGCACATGATAAGAATGTATATTTTTATGGTATTTTTTAGCTGTAAAACATCTGTAATTCAATAAATGCAAGACAGGGACAAAAAAGTAGCAGACATTCCACCTTAGAAGTTACATAGTGCACCTTTAATGTACACTACTTGGGTGGTCAAACGTTAAATCACGTACAAATTGTGGTATTTTAGATAAATAAAAGATAAATAAAAATGAGAAAAATCTGATCAGATCTAAAAGTCTAGACCAGACATGTCAAACTCAGGCCTAGGGACCAAATTTGGCCGGCGATATAATTATATTTGACCAGCGAGATTATATCAAATATGCATTAGAGCTGGACCACTGGCTATAGAGACATTATTTATTTAAAATTTAGTTATTACTTTATATTCTGCTTGTTCTGGATTCAATGTTTAAGTAAAACTATTATTAAACATTTATTTTAATAAGAAAAGGTTTAAAAGATGAGAAAACATGCAGATGATGTTGAAATTTTTCAATAAATATTTAGTTTGGCCCATGACTTAGTCCCAGTTTTTAATTTTGGCCCTCTGTCTAGAGCAAAAAACACGAAATGTTGAACTCATGTAATATTGTCAACATAAAGCTTTTGTCACTTTGGATGAGTAACCAGAATTGTTACTCAGGAGTACTACTACAATCAAAAATATATTAGTCAAGTAAGAGGTTTCTGAAAATGTCTCTCTACTGTACGGTTTAAAGACGTTTCATCTCTCCCTGGTCTAGACGGCTTATTCGACGTGATTGTTCCTTTCACTAAAACAGTTCCATATCACAAATGTATTTCACAATGGGAGTGTCACGTGACTTGGTTTTAAAGGAGACGGTGAAGACAGCAGCAGAATGTCAAACACAGTCTGAGCCTGAGGGGTGCATTAGATTCACAAATGAAATTAAGGAGACAGCACCATCTAGTGGACATTTTAAACACTGTTCACTCCTAAAGCGACTCCAATATTTGTTTTGGAGATAAACAAACATTAGTAGCCTTTAATATTGTCAGGTTGAAACTCTTTTTACATCTGTATTTTTTTAATCAAGCCCCAAAAAATGAATATAAAATAAAAACAGAAACAAAAACAAAATCTGAGTAGTATTTTTTTTCTCACAATGTTTAAGTCTGAGTATGGCAAAAATCTAAGCATCTGAGAACCTTATTTATAATATGGAAAGAACAATATAAAAAACACAAACTGAAAAATAATAACGTTTTATTTCCTTGCCTCTTTCCCTGACACGTGTGTTTGTTTTTATTTTGAGAGCTTTAGCATCTTTTGTTTCATATAAATTGAGTAAAATCGATGCTGATAAATCATAAAATACACATTTGTTTTTCAGTTTTAGTTCATTTATTTTTATTTTTCCTCAATATGGCACATTTAATTGCTTTTTTAGATAGAATTGACATAATCAGCTACATAATTTACAATTTTATGAGCTATAATAAAGTCTTACACAATGTTATATAGCCTGTAGAACTAGTTTAGATTTCTTTACCCTATCTCCTGCACACATAGGTCCTACTTTAAGGTTACTGAGTGCAGTTTTTATGTTAATATTGCTGAAGAAAATATAAAGTACTTCAAAAAGTGTTGAAAAATGACAGGGCTACATGAGGCTTTACCTGAATCCCCAGCCGTCGATGGCGCTGGCGAACACCACGTTGCCCTGGTCCGGAGAGAAGTACAGGTTTGAGTCGTCCGCCTCCTCTAGTCCCGCGCTCCAGTCGTACACGATCTCCCCCTCCCCAGACGCTTCCCTCTCGGGCTCCTCGCTCTCCTTCTCCGCTCGCTCCTCCAGGACTTTGGACGTGAACAGGGTAGCGGTCACTGCGTTCACCTGAGATACAGATGTGTTTCAAATAAGTGAACACGTGTTTAACTTAACTACACCTACGCAGACAAGGAAGGGATGACATCGGGCCAAGTAACAGGTCAGATCTACTGAGAGGCAAGCCCACTCACACTAAGAATTCATATTATCAAGTTTTTCTGAGCAATAAAAACAGATGTAACTCAATAAATGCAACTTTAATGTCATACTGTGGAATTATTCAATGCAATGCAGACAAGCAAGTTACACAGTGCAGTTTAAGGTAATGTATTACATGTTTATATTTACCGTCTGGTAGCTGGTGTGAAATAAATTATAAAGCTGGGGTCACCAAACTTTTTTTCTCTGGGGGTCACATTATCGCTCCTGACTGTGATGGGGGCCGGGGTCGGGTTGGCCGTATAACAGAATTCTATGACCCTGACGACGCAGACCCTGACGACGCAGATTATATTCTTTGAAAAACCCCACACTTTCTTTACGTATCAGACAAACTGCACGCTCCTTACACTGAACAAAAAAAATATTCAGTCCTCCACTGTTCTTTAAAAACTCGGCACTCTCTGTCAACTTTTCGTACTTTAACACGAGTCATTTTGCTGTCCTTAACTGCACTACAGAACTCTGCGCGTGCTCGACTGTCACTGTTTAATCTCGAGTTTGTAAGGGGATGAAAATTCGGCAGTAAACGTAAATATGTCATATAATCATTTAAATATAAATACTTCAAATATATATATTTTTTTTAATTGAAAGAAATCAAGAAATACAAGATGCAGACGTGTTATTATTTGCCAAAAAGTAAGTAACTTTCGAGGATTGCCTCATAGGGCCAGTTCAAGTGGTGGGGGGCAGAGGGACTGGGGGGCCGGTCAAATGGGCGTGGAGGTCCAGAGTCGGCCTGCGGGTCTTAGTTTGTTGTTGACCCCTGTTGTAAAGCATCTGATGGAAAAAAGCATGTACAGTCACCTTTTTTACTTGGTGCGACATGAGGAATACAGATTCTATTCTATTTAATATGTCACATTTATTCCTTTTTTCTTTAGAATTGACATAATCAGCTACACACTGCACTGATTCATCAAATGTGACTTATCCACTTAAAACAAAACAGCTTTTTCTGTCATCGCAAATTCATTTAAAGAGGTGAAATCATGCAAGCTTAATTCTTGTCAGTTGAAACAATAAAATTAAGATTGTGAGATTAAGATAAATTCCAACATTTGTGTATTCTCATAAACAGGTCTGTGTGCCCTATAAACAGGTCTGTGTGCCCTGACCTGCTCAAGCATCTTCCGCAGGTGCGTGTAGGCCTCTTGTGACGTCAGCTTCAGCTCCAAGATCAGTCGGTCAATTTTGTTTATGACCAAAACAGGACGAATGTTCTCCAGCCAGGCCTGGCGCAGCACCACCTGGGTCTGGAAGAGCAGGTCATAACAGAAATGAAAATAAGCACAACAAAAAATTTGCCCAAAAAGGAGTGGGAAGAAGAAAACTTATTTAATCCCATCCTCACTCTTCTAATCTAACACAATGAGCTTTCTTTTGCATTTTTTCAGACATTTTGAATAAACTATATGAACTATTTACAAGTGCGGATAACATAAGCAAACCAGCCAAGAGGTACATCAGAGTTTGTATTTACTGTCATTATTCAGTGTTTTATGTTGCACCATATCATAGAAAAAGTGACTATTTTGAGACTTTTGCTTACTGGCAATGGCAACAAAACTTATTCTGTTTTTTTTTTTTTTTTTTCATACAGACACAATCCTTTTCAAATTCAAATTAAATCTTTTCCATTTCTGCACATGCATAAATTAAGCAGCACTACCCAATCAAAGTCCCTTAAAGGTTTTGGTACATTAAAAAAAGAAAAAAGATTTAAGACTAAACTATTTACAAGAACAGGGAATCTTATGTGGAAAAAATGAAAACAAAAAGTGTATATATAATGTACAATAAAATCAAAGAATTTTTCACAAGAAATTGAGAAGTCTTAAAAAACAATTCATTCTAATTAATCAAATTTATTCTGATACTAAACTAGAAAAACTTCAGAAAACTTGGGCAGATTAACTATTCACAAAGATTGCTTTTTTAGAAATGGAATCAGATGCAAAAAAAAAAAATCTGAATTTTAAAAGCATGAATATGAATGGCTATAATTAACATGTGATTAAATTCTTCAAACAAATGGCATAACTCACTGCAGTACAAATTTCACAGTCATTACACATTCACTCCACGACAGCTCTGTTTGTCAGGCTCAGAGGAGGAAGTGTCTCATCAGTAAATAAGAAGTCTCTAAAACAAAGACAGACAGAGGTTGTACCTGTGGACAGACTCCCTCCACCGCGTCCACGATCACGATGGCCCCGTCGCACAAACGCACCGCCGTAGAAACCTCAGAGGAGAAATCCACGTGGCCCGGAGAATCAATCAGGTTCAGCAAGTACTCCTGCTCTCCTGCACACAGAAAAGTCACATTAATAAGATGTGTTAAATTATGTGAATGCAGAAAATAGGTGAACACAATTCAGTTTACTTTACTTAAATTTACCGTTTTTGTACTGTTGTCATTTGATATGTTTTAGACTTGTGACTAATAAAGGCTGAATTGAATTGCTATCCCAAGAACAGCAAAGTTATAATTTTTATATTTAGGAGATGTTTAATTAATTATTGATGTTTAATATGTAGGGCTGGGTATCATTAAGAAGTTGCCGATACAATACATACCTCGATACATAGGCCAAAGTACGATACATATCTCGATACTGTGCACTTTCAGTTTGGTACGATATATTTCAAATCGATTCGATACAGTTCAATAAAAATAAAGGCAAAATCGTGGCTGTGATACTAAAAGTCTTTGTTAAACCACTTCTTGTCCAAAGTGAATATGAAAAACAAATATTTTAATCATTAAAACTGTGAAAATGTCAAACATGTTGCATAAACGAGATTTCGCTGTAAAAAAAATTATTTAGTAAAATATGCCAAAAAATACTCTTGGCAATGTATCAATACAGCACCCCGATATCGTTACTGTATTTTTGCACACCCCTATTAATATATAACAATGTCTCAACATCATTTTTTTTTCTTTTATTTATGGATTGTGCACAACCACACATATGCAAACTAAATTGTTCTTTCGTGATTAATAAAGCTGTTGATTGATTGACTGATTGACATCTACAATTATGTTACTTAGTAGATTAAAATGAAGAAAAGAATAAAGAATATCTTACGATGTGCAAAGTGAAGAGAGATTGCACTGGATTTCATCGTGATTCCTCTCATCTGTTCATCCTCCCTGCTGTCCAAGTACCGCAGCTGGAATGCAATTATACAGAGAGAACATTAAAAAAGAATACAGAATAATAAACGCTGATAAATTTAACTGGTCAAATATTTTACCTTTCCTGCAAGTCTGCTTGATATGATCCCATTACTGGCCACTAAACAGTCTGCTAATGTTGTCTTACCTGCAGAGACACATAAATACTCAGTACGACAACATGGTGATTTTAAATGTGTACTATGTAACTTTTCCAATGTAGTTGTGTTGGAGATGGTACTGCTTTGAATGATCCACAGTATGGTATTATATATGCCTGTAGGACACATGTTTTTATTGCTCAAAATACCTCGAAAATATGCTTTCCTATAGTGAGCAGGGTCACATATAAACAGATCTGTTCAGTAGTTTGGCTGGGTGGGGTCTTATGTTAGTGTCTACGTAGTTAGAAAAGTTTAAACTGTGGAACATTGCAGACAAGACTATAGAATCTCCATGGAGACAAGCAGTGGGGTGGGTCCTTCCATCAGAAAAGTTACATGGAGCACAATCACACTATCTTACAGCTTTGCACCATATATCTATGTCAAACATTAACACATACATGTAGATTCACCACATTATATGACCAGTGTTGGGGAGTAACAGATTACATGTACCACAGTTACGTAATCAGAGTACAAATTATGAGTAACTGTATTCGGTTACAGTTACTGTTTAAGTGAGTGGTAATTAGATTACAGTTACTTTGTTGAAATAAATAGATTACAATGTGGTATTTTCCTGTTTTCACATTTTGGGCTATATCCCTTTTTTTTTTCTTTTTTTTTTTTTTTTTTTCCGTATTCCACTCATTGCCGGGCACTAAACCAGGTCCAAACCAGGTCTAAAACCAGGTCTAAACTAGGTCTAAACTAGGACTAAATCAGGACTAAACCAGGACTAAACCCAGGTCTAAAACCAGGTCTAAACCAGGACTAAAACCAGGTCTAAACTGGGTTCAAACCAGGTCTAAACCAGATCTAAACCAGGACTAAACCAGGACTAAACCATGTCTCAAACAGGATTTAACAGGACTAAATCATGCTGCGTGGACCGTGCCTCCTCCTCCCCTATCAATACTATTTTTAATTTGGTTAAGTAAAAACTGGGCTTTTTATTGTCTTTTAGCAGACAAAACATCTTATGTTATGATATCCTAGTCTTTGCTTCTCTTCAGCAAACCAAGTAATCCAAAGTATTCAGATTACGTTACACACTTTAAGTAATTTAATGGATTCCGTTACAAACTACATTTTGGGGTGTGTAATCTGTAATCTGTAGGGGAATACATTTTAAAAGTAACCTTCCCAACACTATATATGACTTACCATGGTCCACGTGAGCCAGAATACACAGGTTTCTGATGTTGGCCGGGTTTCTCTGCAGAGCCTTGATCTTGTCCAAACTCGTGTGTCCCATCGTGAACACTTAATGACAACAATTCAGGATTAACCTCAGAAAATGATAATAAACAGAATCATGTAGCTTTAGTTGCTACACCAGAGACATAACTAGCAACTACCAAGTGGTTAGATTGGAGAATAATAAAACAATAATCATAATAAAAGCGATAAATGATCTGAAACGAGTGTAAATGTTGATAGTGAAGTTGTTTCCAGAACTGTCAGTGATGAAGCGGCTACTCCTACAATGGCTAGAAAATCACTCTAAAAAATAAGTAAGCAACTAAAACACAAAATATCCACGACACCAGAAGCACAATAAAACATTAACACGCGTCGAAACGGAGCTAGAAAGCGTGATATTTAATTAAAAAGACAGAATAAGTCATTATTTTCATCCCATGTGGAGCCGCTCTGTTTCATACTCACGTTGTTTTCCCGGAAGTTGGATCGTTTTAGCCCCGCCCACTCCGCTAACATTGGTGCTGCGTTCGCGGAGAGTCGTACAATATAGGACCGCGATCACAAACATTACGAAAAGACTAAATGTATTATAATTTGAAAGCAGATTCATACATTTACTAAAAGACACAATATACGTAATTATACTGTTAATAATATTTTGTGAGAAAACGTACATTAAACAATAATTACATGTATTTAGGCCTAATCGTGTTTTGTTTTGAGGTAGTTTGAACGCAGCACAACACAAGATGATTCAGTTTTGTACAGACATGGGACGGAAATAAAATGGTTTATAAATTGAGGGAAGGGAGCGTGCCTATGTTGCCACACCCCTATATTCCCTCGTTTCCTTTCAGTTTGCATCAGATTTTATCCCCATTTCTCCCAATTTGGTCGTCAATTACACCCAACCTATTATCCAGCAGTAGTTGACTACAGATGTAATGTAGAGGTCATGGTGCAAAGGGCCCCTAGGTTGAAATGACTCTGAATCATCCCTTTAATTGCAGTATAACAATAAAAATTTACTTCACTGAGAGTTTAGTTTTGAAAAATCTTAGATATGAGGGAACATAGGGCTGAGAATGCGCTGTGAATAACTGTATGTTTGTGATGTAAAACTTTCTTTTTTCGAGGGCATCATTTGTTTGTCTCCTTAGTGTTCCACAGTATGGCATTAAAATACAAAAACACCAGGTTAAGTCCCACACCAGATTTGAGGAGAGGCGACCCCCACTGACAGTACAAAGGTGTGTCAGTTTTTTTTTATGCGATAATACACATGTAAATTAATAAATAAACACAAGGTAGATTAATTTAATGTCATACTGTGGAACATTAAAGGCAAAGCAAAAACATCTCCACTGAAACTAATTCTTTTAATTTGAGAGTGTGTTTACGTATTGAAACTGCTGCACTACAATAATAATTTAACTCTGATTACAATGCCATTTTTCTTTTTATGTGCAAAAAGCTGTCTCTTGTTTTGCCAGATCTGCTTCTCTCCTGATTCTTGTGTTGGTTCAATGTATAAAACACAAATTAGAAAGAAACAATTTGGTTCTTTTAATATGAGAGTGTGTTTACTTATTGAAATTGTTGCACTACATAATAATTTAAGTGTTATTGCAATGCCATTTTTGTTTTTTCGTGCAAAAAGCTGTCTCTCGTGTTGCCAGATCTGCTTCCGTGCTGATTCTTGTGTTGGTTCCATGTATAAAATGCACACAAATTAGAAAGAAACTATTTCATTCTTTTAATTTGAGAGTGTGTTTAATTATTGAAATTGTTGCACTACAATAATAATTTAACTGTTATTACAATGCCTTTTTGTTTTTACGTGCAAAAAGCTGTCACTTGTGTTGCCAAATCTGCTTCTGTGCTGATTTTTTGTTGATTCAATGTATAAAATGCAAACAAATTAGAAACAATTTGGTTCTTTTAATTTGAGAGTGTGTTTACGTATTGAAATTGCTGCACTACATAATAATTTAACTGTTTTTACAATGCCATTTTTGTTTTTATGTGCAAAAAGCTGTCACTTGTGTTGCCAAATCTGCTTCAGTGCTGATTCTTGAGTTGGTTCAATGTATAAAACACAAATTAGAAAGAAACTATTTGATTATTTTATTTTGAGAGTGTGTTTACTTGTTGAAATTGCTGCACTACAATAATAATTTAACTGTTTTTACAATGCCATTTTTGTTTTTTTGTGCAAAAAGCTGTCACTTGTGTTGCCAAATCTGCTCCTTTTCTGATTCTTGTGTTGCTCCAATGTATAAAATGCACATAAATTAGAAAGAAACAATTTGATTCTCTTAAAAAGTGAGATTCAAAAGAGCCTTCTCGTTCGAAAACATCATACGAAACGGTCTCAATTACCACACAGTCACCGTTTTGTAAATTGTCTTTATTCCATTGCATTGTTAACAAAAGCACTTTAATGATTTCTTTTCCTACGTCAAACTGCAGGTCCACAAGCGGCGAAACAGGACCACTAATACGTCTGAATGCATCAGGAGAAAAGGAAGAAAACATGACATCACAACCGAGCAGACCCTCATCGAAGTTCATGCAGTTAAAAAGTGGCTCAAATGCACCACCTGTTCAACATATATGAGACGTATACATAACTGATTTACTGGTGTCTGTTAAAAACACATGGTATGAAAATAAACGTCTGAAAACATACACTCATTATGATATTGCACTTGTACCACCGTATTTACAAAACACTGTACATTGCAGCAGATTTGGACCCACCGACGCAACCAAGAACGAGGTACTCGCCGCCATGTAAACTGCCCACTCTGCGTGATTTATGGAGCTTTTTTGGGGGGAGATGTTTTAAAAAGTAAAGGAGCACTGTGTAACTTTTCTGGTGGAGGGACTGCCATCTTCTCGTTTCCATGGAGATGCTGTTGCTTTGTCTGGAAAGTGGCATTACATAAACGCACTGTTGGGCAAGTTACGTCAAAACTGTAATGTGTTATTTATGACTTGTTACTGTCATTTCAGATTTAAGTAATTAGTTACATTACAATATTATTTAATTTAAAATGTAAGGCATTACATTACTACTGCAGCACTTATAAGTTACTCTCATTCTAACTGAAGATGCTGAACTTTTGCACCGTATATGGATTGAACCAGGACTGAACCAGGTCTAAACCAGGTCTGAACCAGGACTGAACCAGGACTGAACCAGGACTGAACCAGGACTGAACCAGGTCTAAATCAGGTCTGAACCAGGACTGAACCAGGACTGAACCAGGACTGAACCAGGACTGAACCAGGACTGAGCCGAGGTCTAAACCAGGACTGAACCAGAACTGAACCATAACTGAACCGGATCTAAACTGGGACTGAACCGGGACTGAACCAGGACTGAACCAGGACTAAACCAGGACTGAACCAGAACTGAACCAGGACTAAACCAGGACTAAACTAAGTCTAAACCGAGGACTGAACCAAGGTCTAAACCAGGACTAAACCTTTAGCTCGCGGTCACCTGACAAGTCTACGTACATCTGGCGTTTCACGGCTGCTGATATCGACGTGATTTTAGAGAATTTGTATGACGAAAAACCCACCACTTCAGTCCAGGTTAAAAAAGCATTGTAACGCGCGTTACTGACATTTGTACATGAGTAAAATATTACTATTTTTTCCATGTAATGCCTTACAATACTGCATTACTGTAAAAAGCAATGCATTACAGTAATTCGTTACTTTCCCAACACTGCATAAACGTCTCCATCTTGCATTTACAGAACTCAATAACATCGTTTTCTATTGACTGAAAAACTTGCAATCTCACTGAGTGCGCTCGGCTCTCCACAGATCTGACATGTAACTTGGCCCTTTTACATCACCTGTTTTCTCCATATAATAGCATAAATGTAATGCCATACTGTGGAACATTCCAGGCAACATCTCCATGAACAGAAGCAGGTGACAGGTGCTTCTCCAAAAGTTATGCAGTGCAGCACAAAATAAATAAATAAATTAGCAATTGCCAATTAACAGTTCTTGTGGTGTAATGTGATACAGTCTGTTAGTCTGTTGAGACTAATTTCTCACCTTTACAAATAGTAACAGTCTTTTTTTGTTTTTAGATCCACACAGCACTAAATATTTCAGAACAAAACTTCCTATCATTTAACTTTACCAACATTAAATCTTCAAAATGGGAATGTATATTGCATTTTATTGCGTTACATCTTAGATCCAGTTCACAAATAAATTAATTACCATATTTTTTGGACTATAAGTTGCACTTTTTATATTAAAATTTTACCGCAAGAGGGCGCTCTAGGCTTGTGTGCCAGTATCTGCTACTCCTATACCGCTGGGACTTCACTCTACTGCACATGTCTTCTGCAGAAAGAGACGCTGTCCTGCTGCAAGTAATGAAATATTCAGCCGAAAATGGAGTTTGGAGTGAGCAAGAAACTTGTGAGGGACTGACGGAAAGTGGGGATGGAGAACACAGCTTCACGGGAACCAGGAGGGTGCACCATGCAACTTTCCTGGAAGTAACTTGATGGATCGACAAAGCCTGGACTTCAGTGACACTGAAACTGTCCTGTCAGGATTCCAAAAGGCTGGAATAATTCTAACCAGAACTGATGCTGAGTCTGATGACAGCTACATAGAAGAGGAAGTGGCGCTCCGTTTACCTCATGAATCTATGGTTTACCTCCAGAGGTCACAGAGTTGTTCAGAAGTGACACAGAGCATGGATTTCAATTAAATGGATTTAGTGATTTGGAGTGAGATGGAGAGTTTTGTTAAACTTGTTCTGTTCTGTTGTTTATGTTATAGTTTATCTGAAGAACTGTTCATATGTGACGTTAACAGTCTGTTGTTCTCTGTTCTATTGTTTTTACTAGAACTTGTCTTTTTTTCCCCCCAAAAGTGTCCAGTACGACTTATATATGCTTTTTCTTCTTGATTATGCATTTTTTGGCTGGTGCGACTTACACTCCGGAGCGACTTATAGTCCAAATAATACGGTACTCTGATATAAAAGATGTTTGTTTTCTAAGGACTAGTCAAATATAAAGGTATATTATGTAACTTTAACCTGCTCATCTCCATGGACATGTCATTGCAATGTAAGGAAGCTTCCACAATATGACATTAAACCAGCTGTCTCCATGGAGAAAAGCCTGTGACTGTGGAACCAGCCAGATCTGTGGAAAGGCAGACCTCATCTCAGTAAGAACGCATATTTAGTAATGTAGTATTATTACTTTACTGGTCATAAAAATGCAAGCTTAATGCCATACTGTGGAACATTCAAGACAAAGCAGTAACATCTCCATGAAACAAGTAGATGGTGTGACCTACATCAGTAAAGTTCCATAATGCACCTTTAAAAAGCTTGGTTAATCTGAACACATTCACTTTCATTTCACGAGTTACCAGTGCACAAGCTCGACTCACTGGCTGTAATACATAAGCAGTTTAATCACTTACTCAAATTGCATTCTGGGGGACTATATGCGTTTCTCTCTCCCTCCTCTGGGAGATTGTCAGGGAGCAGACTAATTGTTTGTCATGAAATATTCAGGGTGGGTAGCGACACATTTTTTCGTGAAGGCCCCTTGTAGGAGGAGGGAGTGAATGCTGGTTGAGTGGTGGTGTAGGGCAGCCGTACCAAAGATGATCCAGTCTTTCTTAGTTCATTTCTCAGGTCCAAACCCCAAAACCTCCCAACGTAATCCATCTGTTTAACCGCCCCTGAGGAGTCTCTCTCTCTCAGTCCTTCAGTTCATAAAAGGTAGTGTATGTAGTTCTGCTGGCCGCCACTAGGTGGAGTCGACGTCCTGTGAACAGGATTGGCAGCATCTGTGTTTGTACATGGGAGAGTGGCAGAGGCTGAGCTTCCGCACCACACTGCAGTACTGAGTGTTGTCTCTGCACTCACCTGGAGCAAGACACAAGAACAATGGGTTAGGACAAAAGACTGTACAATGTGTAATGGGCACAGGTAACATGCCGGGCATCGCTAGCTGCTGCATTCCAAATAGGAAGTGGCATTTGCACGCTTCCGGCTCCACCGAGTCTAATTTACTTTGTATTGAAAAACTGTCACCCCGTCTCTGTAAGTGCTGCCATCAGGCTCCTCATTTTGGTCTTAAAATGTTTGTTTTAACACGCTCTACATCAAGGGTGTCCAACTTTTTTCACCAAGGGCCACATATTTAAACACAGACGAAGCAGAGGGCTGATCGAGGGCCACAGACTGGTGCTCAATACAGTGAATAATTGAAATATGTGCAATTGTGCATGTTTAACACTTTAGAATGAACCATAATAATAATAATGATAATAATAATAATACATTTTATTTATATTGCACTTTACATAAAATAATCTCAAAGTGCTACAGGTAAAAACAATGAGTAAAAAGTGCATCAGCAAACAGTGGATCAAGCTAAAACTATGGCAGGAATTAATAAGATAAAACAAAAATAAAATACAATTAACAAAAGGCTTTAGTAAAAAGATACGTTTTAAGATTTTGTTTAAAAACAGAAATAGACTGTGGGGCTCTCAAGTGGTCGGGGAGAGCATTCCAAAGCCTTGGAGCTGCAGAGGAAAACCATCAGACCGTCAGTCTTTATTCATGCTAAGATCCTTAAAAACACACACACTTAACATTAAACATAAGCTTTATCAAGGTAGATTTAAAAAAAAAAACTTGCAGTAAAAAGTACATTTTGAATTGATGCAAGGTAATTTGGGCCAATTCACCTGGAAGCCTGAGGGCCAAGAAAAAATTGTCTGAGGACCGCATTTGGCCCACGGGACATAGTTTGGACATGCCTGCTCTACGTACATGATCCTGGATTTTTGTATTTTGCTTTTTTGTCCCTAAATTGGTGAGCTTCATTTGACTGGAACAGAAAGCTATGGGTCCACTATTTCACTTCATAACACAGTACTTCTTTTACTAGAGAAATATTCAAAGGAGGTTGTCCAGTTGACAGAAATCAATCTCTGGACAAATGAGTGTTTTGAGTTTTGAGTGTAAAGTTAATTGGAGCCGATGGAGCTGGAAGTGGAAGCCTGTTTTGAATGTGGAGGCGAGCAGTAGCGATGTCCAGTCTATGTTATTTCTTTAGCTTGGTCTTTTTGCCTAAACCCTCCATCAGGACATTATTGGACCTTTTAAACATTAAGTTAAAAACCCCATTGTAATCACCCATTATAACTCCACATTCATTGTATCTGCCAATTGTAAATTTGGCTCGATAGTTTCTAAACCTGTTCTATTGCTCAGGAAGTATAACCGCGCACCATCTATCTGCCCTCGTAGCACTTCCTGCACAGTTAATGTCTTTATGACCGTCCTCTGAATAAGTCTGTCTGTGAGGTGGTGCAACAGCAGAGAATCTATCATCTTTAGCTCTAAGTGCATTCAAGTGTGCTACGGCGGGCAGCAGGGGCCAGACCAAAAAAAAAAAAAAAAAAAAATCATAAATCATTTTTGGGGAGAGTTTTTGGAGCAATTTCCCAAAACCTTTTCAGATACTTAAAACTTTGAAAGAGCTTGAACTAAGATTTACAATGTGAAACTACACTAGTGTATTTTGAGAAGTGGAAACAACGGGATAGAAAAAATATGATGTGTTCAAATTAGATTCCTCCTTTTAGTTTAGTCGTATTAAATGGTGTACATTTGTGGTTTAGTCCTTACTTTGTCACGTCACGTTGTCACCTCTACATCTGGAGTCTTTGGGTGTTTCCAATCAGCCCCTACCACTGATGATTTTATTTTTTATTTTTTTCCCAGACTCTAGTGGAACTGCCTTCTTTTCCTCTAAACCTTCCTGGTCATTTTCTAGTTGGTCACTCCTCCAGGGCCCCTAGTCAGGCTGGCGCCACCTAGTACCTCCGCTCAATTTCATTTGTTTCCAGCAACTAGGTCAGGAATCAGAATACACTAGACCACAGGTGTCAAACATAAGGCCCGGGGGCCAGATCCGGCCCCCCAAGACCTTTAATGTGGCCCTTGGGTGATTTTCTACTAAAATATTTTAATTATATTTTCTATTAAAATATTGGTCATTTTCTGCGGTGTTTATCACAGCAGCGTCTCCACCATCTCTGTACGTGGCCCCTCCCACCAGAGCAGCACAAATGAAGACTTGTCTCTTTCCAGGACTGTAAAAGGACGATCGTTTTGACTGTTGACCGTGACACCCTCATCAACAAAATGTCCAAAATGAGAAAAGTGGAGCCGAGTGCAGGATTTTCCAAGAAAAATTGACTTATTCCTATTTGCATACAAGTTCATGTTAAAACATTGTGTTGAAATTGAATTTTTCTTAAAGTTTCAGATTGTTCATAATATTATAAACTTATAATAAGAAAGAGTTCATCAATTAAAAAAGATGTCTGTAAATGATTTGCGTTTCTCTGCACAAATATTTGAACTTATTGTTATTTTTGGGGTTTATATGACATGAGTTTTCTGATCCGGCCCCTTTGGGATCAAAGTAGGTTGGATATCGCCCCCGGACCAAAATGAGTTTGACACCCCTGGACTAGACGGTTCGCAAAACCCCCGAAAGTGCGAGTTTGGGCACCAGCCAATCAGCGAAGAGCCATACATTCAGTGCTGTCAACGATTCCCGAGATCGAGGATTTAAAGCTGGAACAAAGAGAATGTTTGGTGAATTTTATCAAGAGGAAAAACGTTATTGCCCTTCTTCCTGCAGGATTTGGGAAAAGCGTAATATACAAGTTAGCCCCGTTAGTGGCGCATTACATACATCACGACCAAATAGCAGCGATTGGTTTAATTTAAAAAGTACCCAACTACTGTCGAGCGAACGAATTCTAACGCTGCGAGGTCAGACGGTTTCTACGAAGTGAAACCGGCTGATGAATCAGGCTACAGGGCCCCCTCCACCCTCCCTGGTCCATCGGGATCCGTCCCTTGAAGGGGGAGTAATGTCATGGTGTTAATTTTCACTGAATTATTTTATTATTCTTAACCTGGTTTTATTTTGTATTTCTCTAGCCGTGTGTGTTTTGAGTTTTACTTCCTGTTGTATGATTGTTTGCCTCGACCTCACCTGTGTCTCATTCATCTGTGTGTCATTTGTCATTATCAGTGTTACATCTGTTTGGATTTTTGTGTTTTTGTGTATCATTCTTTCTTATCAAGAACTTCAACTTCACAAAATGTAGTCCTACATGTTTGCTTCTCCCCTCTGCTCTAAATGTGACATATTTATCCTATATATCAGGTTTTGTCCTGATGGATTACTTTAGTTCGCATTTCAGAAATTGACTTTAAATTGTTTGTTCATTTGTCGTTTGTTTTATTGTTTGAGAGTCAGGAAGTGCACATTAGCATTATGGTAATGGCAAAACTCCACGCTGTCCTCTGAAAGTTGTGAAAAAAGCTTATCAAATAATTATGATGCCCTGAAATCGTAAGGTAAATGAGGAATAATTTTAGACTGCTGCCAACGGTTTAAAATGAACTAGTTCTGTTCTATTCTTTCTTATTGCTGTACCTTTGAATCTACTGAAAATGTGCTTAAATTAAGGAAAAAGTTCAAATTCAGGCTAATTATTCTAAATTATGAAACTAAAGTGTGAAATGTTTCATAATCTCTTCATTCTTCCACTTTTTCCTCTCCATCATCACATACTGTCTTACCCAGGCAATAATAGCTTATTTATTATTTATTATGTATTATTATTATTTTATTATTGTTATTTATTGTTGTTGTTGTTGTTGTTGTCGTTGTTCGTTGTCGTTGTTGTTGTTGTTACCCTGTCCGGTGCAGTTGTTGGAGGAGCAGTGTTGCCAGGTCGGGGGTCTCTGTATCCAGGCGCAGTGCTGTTGGGCGAGGGTCCGTCCTGTCCGGAGGTGCACACAGTCCACTCTGCGGGACTGGAAGCCGCTGCCACAGGGCACGCTGCAGCCCCCCCATGGCCCGGGGTGCCACTGCACGCTGCACAGGTCAGAGGAGCAGTTACGCACCGAGGGGGGTCTAAGAAAAGACGAGAGGGTCAGGAAATGTTATTTGTCATGAATTGATTTTTTTAGACATGAAATATACAGGGTGCATCAAAGGTGGATTGTGTAACTTTCCTGGTGGAGGGTCTGTGAAATGCTTATTGTACCGTAACTACTAAGCCACAGGTCAGATCTGTGGAGAGGCAACCCAGCTCAGAGTCAGAATGTCTGTTTTTCTAGGTATTTTTGAGCTATAAAAACACCTGTAATTGAATAAATGTAAGGTAGACCTGTTTAATGTCATATTGTGGAACATTCCAGAGTAATGACATATCCATAGAAACAAGCAGGTGACAGCCCCTCCACTAGAAAAGTTACATAATGCACCTTTAAAATCCAAGTGAATAAAAGGTGCGCTTGTAATCGTTTTGGCTTTTTAATCGCTCTTCTCTATGTTACTGTTTTGCCTGAAATGTTCCTCAGTATCGCATTAAGCAGATCAATCTCCACAGAGACAAGAAGACACCATCTGACCAAGTTACAGGTCAGATCTGTGGAGAGGCAACCCCGCTTACAGTCAGAACGCCTGTTTTCTAGGTATTCTTGAGCTATAAAACCATCTGTAATTGAATAAATGTAAAGTAGAGCTGTTAATTGTTCTTCTCAGTGTTATTGTTTTTGCCGTGAAATGCTCCTTACTAATCAGATCAATCTCCATGGAAACGAGAATACGCCAACCTACCTGGCTATTTTTGATACTCACTAGTATTTTGGATTTATTTTTACCATTTATATTTTTGCTCTTTGCTCTTATATAGTGTCCAAATAGTTTTCCTTGTGGATAAATAAAGTTAGTGTGTTTTAAGGCCAAAACGATTGTCAAAAAAGGAATGTTACTCAGTATGGCATTAAACATTTCAGCCTCCATGGAGACAGAAGACACCATCTGGCCAAGTTACAGGTCAGATGTGTGGAGAGGTGACCCCGCCCACAGTATCTATGTTTTTATATTTTAAGTTTTACCTGTACATATTACATTTAGATAATTATGCCTTTTTTGATACCAGTCTCTTGCTCATTTTGCTGCTCATTTTGATAAAAAAAAAAAAAAAAAAAAAGTATATTATTTATATATTTATTTTTCTCTTTGTTACTCTTATATATTGTGATGTATGAGTTACTGCGTCCAAATAATTTCCCTTGTGGAGCTATAAAGTTTATTTGTCTCATTGTTTTGGCTGGAATGTTAATCCTCAGTATGACATTAAACATTTCAACCTCCATGTAGACGAGAAGACGCCATCTGGCCAAGTTACAGGTCAGATGTGTGGAGAGGCGACCCCGCTCACAGTAAGAATACATGTTTTTCAAGGTATTCTTAGCTTGGTAACTGAATAAATGAAAGTTACCTATACTGTGAAACATTTCCGATAAAGCAATCATATCTCCATAGCAACATGCAGGCCTATCACAATAATAACGGCATTGACTTATCATTCAAAATATGACAGAAGGAAAAATATTTTTTTAGGTCAGTATTTATTGTGTGGACATTTTATTTGTATTACAACACTGCAAAAAAAAACTAAATCTAGTCAAGTTAAGATGACTTGAATGGAGAAAGTTTTATCATGATTTGAGTAAATTCCACTTGACAAGTAAAATTATTTGCCAGCGGAATAAGACTTTTTGTACTTAAAATATGAAAATACATCTCGCTACACTTGAAATAAGAAAAACAACAACTTTTTGCACTTAAAATAAGAAACAAAATCTAATGTTGCTTGAATTAAGAAAAACACACTTATTCCATTGGTGGATAATTTTACTTGTCAAGTTGAATCGACTCAAATAAAGTAAAATATTCTCAATTTAACTCATTTTAATTTAGCTAGACATTGTTTTTTTCTAGTGTAGTGTTATTTTTTGGCTGTATGATAAGATTTAAGTAGAAAAATGTTGAATTATGAACTTATGTGACTCATTAAAGATACAAAATAAACACTAAAGAGTTTATTTATCTTATTTATTTATTGCAGCTCATGATTTTTTTAAACAATACTATACATTTAGGATAGTTTTTGTGGTTTAAATCTGCTCTTGGGCTACTGTGTCAGTCTCATAAATTATTTTCAATCATCATCGGCAAGCAGATAGAGAATACTCAAGCAGAAAACTAGTCTTACTTTCATAACACAGTGGGAGTAAATGTTTTTAAGCACTATTCTATAGTTACTCAAGGTATGGATTGTGCCACGAATCATGCGCCTTGACTAAATCTGCGAGAGACTTTCAAAATTTTCAAATTACAGGAATAGTGCGTTAATATCCTGCAGCTAAATTCCTTATATACAGTATAAGTTGTCTCACAGAGTTTTAAGAAAAGTAAACCAGCGCAGAAACAGACTGTGCAAGACCGGCTATATCTCCCTAGTGCAGCACATACAGATAAGTTCTTCGGCATCGTGTTTCACTTTTCTCAGCAGTTCTGGGCTTTCTAAAATGTGAAGAAATATATTTTTACATGTAATGATTATGTTGTTTGGGGATTAAGACGTTAAAATGTTTAAAAAGTTAGAATTTGGCAACAGCTGAACTGATTAAAAAGACCTCCAGATAACTAAACTGTGGAAACCTTTACTTCCTTATTCCTGGACTCAGCACTATTGTATCCTTGCCCCTTTCAAACTTAAATGTCAGCTCAGTTTCAGGACAGCCTCCTCTGGGATCCGCTCAGACCCTCTGAAGCCCACTGGGACCCTCTGGCCTTTAGCACCGGCCCGGGACTGTCCTGGTTACAATCTGGTCCTGAACAAGACTTGGACCTGGGACTCGGACACTTTACACACAGTCTGAAGGTGATCCGCTCAGCACAACGAGTCAAAGTCAAAGGGGCTATTCACAAACAGCAAGAGTATACTAATAGTGGTTTCCCTTCTTTACCTGAGTACCGTATTTTTCAGACTATAAGTTCGTTTCATGGTTTGAGTGTTTCCTGCGACTTATACACCTGTGCGACTTATATGTTAAAATTTTCACACTGACAGCCGTAAGAGGGCGCTCTAGGCTTGTGTGTCAGTATCTGCTGCTCCTATTACTCCTGTACCACTGTCACTTCACTCTACTGCGCATGTCTCCTGCAGAAAGAGCCTCTGTCCTGTCTGTATCATGTCAGTCGATCGTATCATTGCTTCTGTACCACTGAAATTTAAAATTTAAACAAACTTATTAAGAAAACTGGGAAGACTGGACATAAACACCCCCAAAAAGAAAATCATATTTTGCAGATTCCAAGCTGCAAGTAGTGAAATCTGCCGCTGAGAACGGTAATAAAGCAGCATAAAGAAAGTCTGGAGTGAGCGAGAAACTTGTGACAGTCGACAACTTTCCTGGAAGTCATTGGATCGACAAAGCCTGGACTTCTATGACACCGAAACTATCCTGTCGGGATTCAGAAAGGCCGGAATAATTCTAACTGGAACTGATGCTGAGTCTGACGACAGCTACACAGAAGACGAAGAGGCGTTCTGTTTACCTCCAGAGGTCACGGAGTTGCTCAGAAGTGACACCGAGGATGAAGAATTCAATGGATTTAGTGATTTGGAGTGAGATGGAGTTTGGTAAACTTGTTCTGTTGTTTATGTTATAGTTATCTGAAAAAATGTTCATATGTGACGTTAACAGTCTGTTGTTCTCTGTTCTATTGTTTTACTATAACTTGACTTTAAAGATGAAATGTTGGTTCCTGGTCTCTGATTTTATAATATAGATTTCCCCCAAAAAGTGCGACTTATAGTTCGGTGCAACTTACAGTCTGAAAAATACAGAACATTTAGTTACCTCCAAAATGTTGCAGTTGCATAAAATTTTGAAAACAATGTACTTGTCCGTATTGTTAAGAATTAGTAAGAAGTAGTAGAAGTAAAAAGTTGGATTTGCTTCAGATTAATCATTAACGGTTAGTTTACATTAATAAATTATAATCTGTCACTGACTGGTAAAAATGCTGCCTAGGTCTTGATTTGGGCAGATTTAACATGAGAACTAAAATTATCAACCAACTTAATAAGATATACATTTCCTAAAGGTGCACTATGTAACTTTTCTGGTGTAGGGCACTCACACACACATCTGTTTGTCTCCTGTGAGATGTTACTGCTTTGCCAGGAATGTTTCAAAACTACTCTGTCTTGCAATTTTCTTTTTTTAGTTGATGTTTTGATTGCTTAAAAATGCATTGAAAAACATGCACACTATTCACAAATCTGAACATCACTTGCTTGTCCAGCAGTTTTATCCAGCAGAAACAACATTATAGCATAGATCAGAAAATTGTGTAATATGGGCCAATAAATTATAACACGTATTTGCCGCTCTTGATACAAATACTTCCTTTCTCCCCTGTAGTGTTCAGACAGACCTCAGTTTACTCTGGTCCTGTCTCTCTGTCTGGGGAGTTTGGTGTTGATTCGTGCTTTTGACTGAATCCTGTGATCTTTCTGCGTGTGCGTGCGCTCTTTGGTGTTTGGTGTTTGGCGGTCGAGTTGGCGTTGGACTGTGTTTTGTGTTTTTGTGTTTACCTTCTGCTCTGATCACAGTCGGAGTGGGAGGTCCCGTTTAGATGCTGACACAGGACGGACCTCTTCTGGACCGTTGAGGAGGGGCTCAGACAGCGCCCCGAGCACTACGGATAACAACAACAAAAATATGAAATTTACCTGGGTAATGTCGGGCAAGAGGAGTAAAACAGAATAAACAATATGTGAATGTTGGTTCAAAAACATGAAAAACCGTAATATCTGGTACAAGGTTAAAAAAAACAAAACCAAAACAAAAAAGATCTTACATTGTTTTCATTTTCACATATGTCAAATATTTAAGACAACCTATTTTACAGTTTTTAGCATATTTCTGACGGATTGCCAAGATAGAATAAGATTATTGCCATTGAGACATTTCTTTTTTTCAATACTGTTAAAAAATATGAAAGTAAAAATCTAGTCAAACTTAGGGCCTGTTTACACGAGAATGCTTGAGGGGAAAATCAACTAAATATTTTATCAGAAGTGCCTTTCGTTTAGACGGTGACGGCGTTTTTGGGGCTTAAAAATGCAAAAATCTGAAACCATTCTCCAGAGTGGAAAAGTTGAATACGCTCCGCAGTAACGTTTCCGTCTACACTGCCCAAGACGCGAAACCCAGGGACTACAGGTGGAAATCAACACTGGTGCTGCAACCTTGTACAATGCATCTCTCCTGTTAAGGTTAATGTAAAAATGATGTGCTGTTCCTGTCCCATTAAATAACAATAAATAAATAAATATCAAAAACTCTGCTCAAATCTGCTCACATCGCGCACGTGTTTATGTCACATACATACAGTACACAGAAACAAACATGTCGGATGGCATGCATACCCAATCAAATTCCACACACTTTTGCGTCACCGTATGCACGCAGATTTCCTCTCGAAAAAGCTCGTCTAAACGTGGAATAAAAAGTGAAGAAGCAACGCCACTTTTGCATCTTCTGGTCAGACGGTCATCATATAAACGTCATCATAGTTGCTATTTTTTAATAGGGGTGTGCAAAAATATCGATATATCTTATCATTTAATGTGATGATGCAGTATCGATATCAGTGACTGCTGTATCAATAAATCGCCAAGAGTATTTTTTGGATATATTTGAATAAATTATTTTGTTACAGCACTACAGTTTTGTTGCTTCTTTAGAGAAAGGACACTCATTTATCCGACATATTTGACATTTTCACTGTTTTGATGATTAAAACTAGAAAAGCAGTCAGAGAGCGCAGACCTCCGCCAAGGACTACCCCCATTTTTTATATAAATTGTGATAAAATCAGTCTTCTGGATCAGATCCGGATCAGCCTTTGGAATATGAAAGAGGATCCCACTGTCCATCCCTGAGTCAAATTTCATGGGGTTTGGTCAATAATTAACCGAGATATTGAGAAACAAAATTTTTGACCCCATTTACCACAATGTTAACTAAAATTTCAAAGTGATCCAGAATCCAGGATTTCTTCCGGATCACCCCCAAAATGAAATCAGTTCTTCCTTTTCACATTTCCAACAAATCCTGAAAATTTCATCAAAATCGGTCCATAACTTTTTGAGTTATGTTGCTAACAGACAAACAAACAAACAAACAAACAAACAGACAAACGCCGGCAAAAACATAACTTCCTTGGCGGAGGTAATTAGTGTGTTTCATATTCACTTTGCACAAGAAGTGGTTTAACAAAGACATGATTTAGCCATTATTTTTTATTGAACCGTATCGAATTAATTTGAAATATATCATATTGAACCGAAAGTGCACTGTATCGAGATATGTATCGTATCATGACCTATCGAGGTATGTAAGTTTTTATTTAGATAGCATTTTTCACAGACACAAAGACGCTTTACAGAGCATTATTCATTCACTCCATATCTGATGGTGGTAAACTACTATTGTAGCCACAGCTGCCCTGGGGCAGACTGACAGAAGCGAGGCTGCCCTGCCAATCGGTGCCAACGGTCCCTCTGATCACCACTGTCACTCACACACACAACACTTTCATACTAGACAATGTGGGTGAAGTGTCTTACCTAAGGACACAACAACAGTTTTTGTGACTGGTGCCTCACTGTGGCACCTAATTTTCCCAGCGGCCTCCCATCCAACTAATGAGGCCCGTACTTGCTTAGCTTCTGAGATCTGGGCAACTTCTTAATAACACCCAGCCCCATTATTAGTCCTTCACGTATTCTTTTTATCACTCCCCAAAGCAAATGTATTAATAAGATGTAGGCACACTGCAAAAAACTAAATCTAGCCAAGTTAAGATGACTTGAAATAAGAAAGTTTTATAATTTTATCATTTTGAGTCAATTTCCGTTGACAAGTAAAATTATCTGCCAGTGGAATAAGACTTTTTGTGCTTAAAATATGAAAATACATCTTGCTACACTTAAAATAAGAAACAAAACCGAATGTTGTTTGAATTAAGAAAAACACACTTGTTCCATTGGTAGATCGTTTCACTTGTCAAGTTGAATCTACTCAAATAAAGTAAAATGTTTAGTCATATTAACTTGCCTAGATAACAAATATTAATGCAAATAATAATGTCTTTGTATAAGCAATATGCATACTTGTGTCCTTGAGCAACGCACTTAACCAGCCCGTGCTGATTTGACTGTGTGAGAGCGAGACAGACGCAGTGATTTTGAGTGTCAAGAAGCAGATTTCATGACTATTGTGGCTGGATAATAAAATGGAGATCGGGTGATAAAATTAACCAAACACATTGAATTAGACGATTTTGACACTTTAAAAACACTCTTTAGTCATTTCACGAGATTGAGACCAAAATATAAGCAGCTTACGGCTTTCCGCTAGCGAAAAGAAAATGAATTCAAAGCTTATTTTGAAAAATAATTACAGACTCTTAATAAGAAGAGTGCTCGGCGAAAACAATCATGCTTCAACTGAGATCACTGCCGAATATTTGAATATTTTCTTGGTCATTAACATTAAAAAAGAAAATTCATCAAACGCCGCTTCCGTCAAAAACACCCTTCCAGTATTTATCTAACAAACAACCACTTTCATTTATTTTTACCCATAAATATTAATCCATACGGGGGAAATGAGAAGAGACGACTCAATAAAAATGATACAGAATACTTCATGGTCGTTATTGCGTCAATTAAAGGTGCATTATGTAACTTTCCTAAAGAGGATCAGTCACCACGGAGATGTTTTTGCTTTGCCTGTTATGTTCCACTAGCCAGGCTGGCAACACCTAGTGCCTCCACTCAATTTTATTTATTTCCAGCGACTAGATCAGGAATTGGAAGACGCTAAATAGTTCACAAAAACCCTGGAAGTGCGAGTTCGGGCACCAGCCAATCAGCGAAGAGCCATATATTCTGTGTTGGCAACGATTCCCGAGATCGAGGATTTAAAGTCGGAACAAAGAGAATGTTTGGTGAATTTTATCATGGGGAAAGACGTTATTATCCTTCTTCCTACGGGACTGGTGTTAAAAAGGCCTTGTATTCTTGGTCTTCCGCATGGAGACTGTCACTGCATGCAGCGACCAATTAGAACTTTGGCCCCTTATGTGGCCCCATCTTGCAGGGCTGGGGCCAGACATTGGGGTTCAGTGTTTTTTCGGAACTGCAAGCAGAGAGACTGCGAGGAGTGTGCTCTTGTTGTTGTGTTTTTTTTTAGAGGTTGTTTTCATCTTTGGTAGTGTGTGTGTAATATAAACGTAAGTAAATGTTCTCTTTGTTTTGTTGTTTGCTATAAACTTTTCTTTATTGTGTTTCGGCCCATTTTGTCCTCATTTGCATGCGTCATACAAAGAGGTATAGCGTGAATCTGGGTACAGTACCTCTTAAAGGTGCAATACAGTCAGAGCAGCTCAGTTTATTATGGCTGCATAACTAATGTATATTATGTTTGTTACTTATGTTTAGAGTTGTTTAATACATTCATGTGTTTTATTATTTATAGTTGTATAGTTAATTAATATACATTTTTTATGCCTTGTTTTCCACAGAACCACACACTTACACCATTTTCTGCTAGTACTGGATAATCAATAAAGCACACTATTCAGAACGTCTGGATCTTTCCAAGGGCACCCTGCAGCGGGTTAATACAGACAGCACCCCTTAGTATATTTTACAATTGGGGAAAAGCTTAATATACCCGTTAGCCCCGTTAGTGGCGCATTACATACGTCACGACCAAATAGCAGCAATTGGTTAAATAAAAAAAAGTACCCGCCTACCGTCGAGCGAACGAATCCTAATGCTGCGAGGTCATACAGTTTCTACGAAGTGAAAACAGCTCATGAATCAGACTAATGTTCCACAGTTTGATACGACTACTTGGAGAATACCTATTTTCCCTCCTTGAGTAAATTCCCTTGTGGATCAATAAAGTTTGCTTAAGTCTAAGTCTTACATTTATTGGTACTGTACTAATCCACTGCTCAAAAGCTTGGCCAGAATTGAAGATATAAACACTTAAATCTATCAGAAAATGATTTAAAAGTTGTGAAATTATCTGTCCATGCAGCAAGATAATTTTACTTGACAAGTTATTTTAAAATAAATTACCTCTAGACTCGAATTAAACAGCCTCAGAATTAGTAAATCGATAATAAATCTGAAAACAAGATGAATAACCTGATGTAAGTTTTAAAATCTTGGCCAGATGAGAGAAATTTTCAGTGTGAACAGGCACTTTTTTAATCACAAATCTGACCAGTAGCTTGGCCTGGTGACAACTTTGGCTTTTCTCAGTGAAGTTAGAAAAGTTTAATACCAAACTGTTCAAACATTCCAGATGAATTTTCCATGATTAATTTATTTAATTAATAGAGCAGCTTTAAATGACTGAAAAACTTATCATATGGGATTTGCATTAGGCTGTACCAATCCAGTAACCATACATTTTTTTTTAAAGTTCATATAGTTCAATGTAAAATGTCTGAAAAATGTGAAAGAAAGCTCATTGTGTTAGATAAGAAGAGGGGGTGGGATTAAATTAAAGTTTTCTTTTTCCCACTCCTTTTTGAGACCATTAAAAAAAAAAATAAAAATGTTATTTCTGCTATGAATTCATTAATGTTATATGTTCTATTGCAGGGGTGTCCAAACTTTTTTAATCAAGGGCCACATATCTAAACACAGAGGAAGCAGACGGCTGATCAAGGGCCATAGACTGGTGCTCAGTGCAGTGAATAACAGAAATATGTGCATGTTTAACATGTTAGAATGAGCCATCAGTCTTTACTCATGCTAAGATCCTTAAAACCACACACTAAATATTAAATATTCGCTTTATCAAGGTAGATTTTCAAAAAACTTGGTAATTTGGGCCAAGTCACCTGGAAGCCTGAGGGCCAAGAAAAATTTGTCTGAGGGCCGCATTTGGCCCATGGGCCATACTTTGGCCATGCCTGTTCTATTGTAAAAGAATGTACATTTCTTACTTGCCCAAAATAAATACATAAATCATAAATCAAAGTTGTGTGTAGTTTCCATAGAAGAATATAAATAACTTTTATTTTTATTATTTTGAATTTATTTTTAATGTATTTTTTATTATTGTACTATGTATTTGTGCAGCACTTTGGAAACTGTTTGTTTGTGAAATGTGCTACAGAAATAAAGTGGATTGGATTAAAGAAGCATTGTGTGTTTTTGGGGGGGTTTGCCGTATGCTTTTCTACATGCAGATGTTATTGCTCTGTCTGGAATCTTTCACAGTATGGCATTAAACCTTTCCATCGTCTTGGAGACCAAACCAGGCCAAGTTACAGGTCAGATCTGTGGAGAGGCGAGCCCGCTCACAGTCAGAATCTCTGTTTTTCGAGGTATTTTTGAGCTGTAAAACCATGTGTGATTTAATAAATGTAAAGTAGAGCTGTTTAATGTCATACTGGGGAATATTTCAGACAGAGCAATCACATATCCATAGAAACAAGCAGGTGACGGACGCTCCACCAGAAAAGTTACAAAATGCACCTTTAATTTCCAAACCCTGACGCATTCTTTAAAAACAATTTGCCAAAGTCTTTGTCCATGATTTATTGATGCGATGAGTTATTATAAAGCCTGTTCATGTTCTCTGTTGTTTTGCGTGGTTTGTCCGTACCTTGCCCCAGGGGCTGGTGACCCAGATGGGGCAGTTGTGGGAGGTGCAGTTGTGGGTGGGCGCAGGTCGGGGGGTGCCCTCACAGGCGCGGGCTGGCAGGGTCCTGGTGGTGCCCCGGGCATCCAGCTGCTGGCACACCACCTGTCTGCTCTTCACCCCCTCACCACAAGAGGCAGAGCACTTCGACCACTCTGACACGGCCCATCTGAAAGAGAGACACACAGATTAAAAAGTCAAGTGGATTTTTATGTTAGTATTTTAAATAAATATGGAATTTGTAACATTAAGTTTTATAATGAAGAAACTGTCAATAAGCCCAATACTGATATTTTGCAGAGACATCAAGCTGGGGGTGTTCTATATGTATTATGTAGAAGTGTAGTGGGCGTGATACGTGGGGGTATGCCGTCCTCCCACTTTTCTTGATGTAAGATATAAAAAAATAACAAATATAAAGTAGCTACAACTTAAATGTGAAACTAGAGCATTTGGCAACAGTGAAAACAACCTGCATAGACTCATGATATCTGCAGTACTGTCCTATAGTGACCTGAGACATGAGGAACCAGGACTAAACCAGAACTGAGTATCAGGACAGGCCCGAAGGTGCGCCCGCGTAGACCATCGGGTGACTGCAGGCGAAAAGGACCAACGCAGGCTAAGTGCAGTCATCGCCCGATCGCGCTTTGTGGACACCCTGCTCCACGGGCTCAGGGTTCTCTCTCTCTCAAGTCCAAAATTAGTCCTGGTCCTAGTTTAGACCTGGTTTAGACTTGGTTTAGTCCTGGTTCAGTTCTGGTTCAGTCCTGGTTCCGTTCTGGTTTAGTTCTGGTTTAGTCCTGGTTCCGTTCTGGTTCAGTCCTGGTTTAGTCCTGTAGTCCTGGTTTAGTCCTGGTTCAGTCCTGGTTTAGTCCTGGTTTAGTCCTGTTTTAGTTCTGTTTTAGACCTGTTTTAGTCCTGGTTCAGTCCTAGTTCAGTTCTGGTTCAGTTCTGGTTCAGTCCTGGTTTAGTCCTAATTTGGTCCTAGTCCTAGTTCAGCCCTGATTCAGTTCTGGTTTAGACCTGGTTCAGTCCTGGTTCAGTCCTGGTTTGGTCATGTTTTAGTCCTGTTTTAGTCTAGTTTTAGTTCTGTTTTAGTTCTGGCTCAGTCCTAGTTTAGTCCTGGTTCAGTCCTGGTTTAGTCCTGGTTTAGTCCTAGTCTTAGTTCAGTCCTGATTCATTTCTGGTTCAGTCCTGGTTCAGACATGTTTTAGTCCTGTTTTAGTCCAGTTTTAGTTTTGTTTTATTCCTGTTTTAGTCCTGGTTTAGACATGTTTTAGTCCTGTTTTAGTTCTGGTTCAGTCCCAGTTTAGTCCTGGTTCATGTGTTTTGTCTATGATTTATATTTTGTAGGTGATTATGAACGGCATTAATGTGAATAACATGATCGTGCATTATTTTGAGTAAAAAAAAAAAAACATTGATGACGTCACGAATTGCGCACCCCCACTTAAAAAAAATCCCCACTACACCACTGTCTATGGTGGAATGTTCAGCTGTTGCCATGGAGACACAGTGCGCACATTAGCAAAAAAAGCACTGTCAAAAAAGTTTTAAGATACTTTGAAAACTCAAGTAAAAATAGATTTACCAGAAATAGGTTTAAACAACACATTTTCAGGAGCATGTGATCAGCACTTAGTCTTGGCCCTGTTTAGGTGTTCGACAATAAAGGTGAAAGTGACTGACTGAAAAAACTCTTGGCTAATGTGATCTAGATAATGACTGAAGTGTTACTGTATGTGTCAGACGTGTTTAATAAACCCAAGAACTCACTGTATGAGTACAAAAGTTTACATTTGAACCATACACACTGCAAAAAACAAAATCTAGACAAGTTAAGATGACTTGAAGTAAGAAAGTTTTATCATGATTTGAGTCAATTTCACTTGAAGTAAAATTATCTGCCAGTGGGATAAGACTTTTTGTACTTAAAATATGAAAATAGTTCTTGCTACACTTAAAACAAGAAAAACAACAACTTTTTGCACTTAAAATAAGAAATGAAAAATAATGTTGCTTGAATTAAGAAAAACACACTTATTGCACTGGTAGATAATTTTACTTAAAATATTCTTAATTTAAGTCATTTTAACTTAACTAGACATTGTTTTTTCCCAGTGCAAAATTGTCCTAGCAACCCCTTTTTAGATGCAGACTCGCCTCGCCACAGATATGACTTGTAATTTGGCCTTTTGGCTTATCTCCATGGATATAGATACATGATTGTGCCCAACTGTGGAACATTGTTAGCCTCCAGCCAATTTACTTTCTCTCCAGTGACTAGGTCAGGAATCAGAATAAACTAGACATTTGCAAGAACCCAGGACGTTATAGACCGCGCACCGGCCAATCAGAGAAGAGCTGTGAAGCCATGACGTCAAACTCAAGCGCCTGTCTGAGTCCCTTTTGTGGTACAGCACAACAGTAAACAAATATCTCAATACACGCATCACGAATGTCAAATTTTCTGAAAAAGTGAGCATCAAACTGCCATGTTTGATTTCCCAGTGTGATGTGTCTATTGTCAAAGCCTGATCTTTTCAAGTCTTTTGAACCATATCACTTTTGTTTCTGGTTCTGATATTGTCTCATTTTAGTCATGGGATTCAGACATCGTAATTGTGTGGTTGCTGGATGTCCTAACAGCGGAAAACAGCTTGAGAAATGGGCTTCGGAAGTTTACGAACTCCGTAAATGCAAAAGGGAATCAGATCTGTGTGACTGCAAACCTCCGTTCAAACTGTTTCCCTTCCCAACGGAATTGAAGAATAGTGAAAGGTGAAGGCGATGGGCAGTATTGATACAAAGGAAAAACGAAAAAGGTAACATTTGGCTGCCGAAGAAATCATCCCGAATTTGCAGTGAATATTTAGTATGTGGAACGCATCCCACTGGCAAAACCAACATGACGGTTTGATGCTCAATTTTTTGGAAAATCCTTCCCAGACCGGAAGTCTGAAATTCGTGATGCATGTATTCAGACAATTAGGTAGCGATCTCCACTAGAAATGTTGGTGCACCTTTAATATCTCAAATTAATGTTGCTTAAATACAAATTTATGTTGTAATACGTCGAGTTATTGGGCCTAGTAGAAATGATCAGGTTTAAAATGTAAAAAGTATTTGTAATTACAACACCACAAACTCATTAAGAAACTCTGACTGTCGCCCCCATCTGGGAGAATGACATCATCACAAAAAAAAAGAGTGTTTTTTTCAGTGGCTTGACACCAGGTTTTCGGTTTGTTGTTTTATTGATTGAAATCGTGTGATGCTGCTGGACTGGCTGCCACAAAGCATGATGGGAAATCCAGGCCCAACGCTGGGACCACCCGGGGGCGCGAGGGAGGGGGGTCCTGAGCAGGCGGTCTGTGGATCCAAACTCACACTGGGCTTCTGATCTGACGGAGCCTCTTTGAATATTAATAATGGGCTCTCCGTCTGAAACACTCGAATGAAAGTGACTGCTGATGAGTGGACAGTTCGTTTGTGGATGGCTCATTAGAATTTTAAATGGAAAAACATTTTAAATTGAGAAAATTCTGAGAGGTTCATTTTAAATATGTTAATCTTGCTTTGGAACAGGATTATTTACTACACATTAAAGCTGCTCCTTCCATCCTGTGAGCTTTAAGTCATGATATAACCCTCCTGCACCCCTCGGTACATTTTTGCACATCTCATCTTTTCTTTTTTGCATAACTCTGGCTGTATTGCACCAAAAAGCACCAAAATGTTTGTGTATTTTGTGATGTATTTTTTATTTCACATTAATTGAATGGTCTTATATTATCAAATATATAATCAAAATACTCACACTTGTGGTTAGGGATGTAACAATAACTGAAATATCGAGATCTTGTATCGTCAAAAGTCTCAATAATATCGCGGGCTGTCACAATATATCGAAGTACAAGTTTCTTTGCTTAACGGCATGGTTTTACAGTAGCAACAGCTTATAAACATAAGGAACTACATATCCCATGATTCATTTCAGTGCAAAGAACACTAAGAGATATGTTTTTTACTTGAATTCTTCAGATTATGACGGAAATAATTCACATCAAAAGCTTGTCGAGGTGTTTTAAAAGCAGAAACGTGTCCTATTTACAATTACATCAGCCACTCCAAAATATCGCAATAAATATCGTACAGTGAGATGCATATCATGATAATATCGTACAGAGAGATTTGAATATTGTTACATCCCTACCCGTGGTCCTTAGGTACATTTTTGATTTTGATTTATTTTTCATTCTTTGGTGTTGAAAACCTTTCTTTTTTTTTTGTTTTGTTTTTGAATTTTTTATTGTTGAATGACATTTTATGAGTCCACACTCAAACAGATATTTGAGGTTAAAATGATATGTGTTCTGAACCCCAGGCCTCTGACAAAACATATTAAGATTACTTGAAAGTAGAGACGGGACCGAGTTGTTGTTTTGCAAGTCTCAAGTAAGTCTCGAGTCTTTGATCGCAAGTCCGAGTCAAGTCCCAAGTCAAAGACAGGCAAGTCCAAGTCGATTCTTGAGTCACTGGTCTATGAGTCCAAGTCAAGTCTAAGTCGTCTGCTTTGAGCTTCAACTCATGTCAAGTCTTTATATTAAACCAAAGTACCAAATATAGCTTTGTTTTTGCAATTTTTATGACTTTTAAACTAAATAATACTTAAAAATGTATACATGAGTATTTATAAAGTGTTGTAGAAATGCTATTTTTTGCTTTTTAAATGTCTTGACAAGAGTGAATCATTACAGTAAGAACAGAATGAATGTGTAGTTCCCTGTGTTTTACTGTATTGTACTGTATATTACTGTACTACATTTGAGGATACCACATCACAGTACTTCAGTTACATCCAAAGTAACAAACGGAGAAGTGGGAGCGACATGTTCCAGTTTGTTCCACTAAAAATTAATCACTTAAGTATTTTCTAAAAACTTTTTTTTTTTTTTAGGAGAAGCATTAAGTCTCATGGCTCAAGTCTGAGTCAAGTCCCAAATCACTGACCTTCAAGTCCAAGTAGAGTTCCAAGTCTTGGTCCATTTTATCAAGTCAAGTCTCAAGTCCTAAAAATAGTGACTCAAGTCTGAATCGAGTCCAAGTCACGACTTGCAAGTCCCCACCTCTACTTGAAAGATATAGAAAAAAATAAAAATGTAAAATGTTTTTTTTTCATGCACATAATTTGAGACTTTTGCATCAAAAATGACATTTAAGGGGTTAAAATTTCTAAATATTGTATAATATTTGGTATGTATGATTTGGTATGTACAAATAAATGAAGACACTGATATAAAAAAGGACCACAGGTGTGATTATTTTAAAGGGGTGTGCACGGGTCAGTGTTGTTACCTCCTCCAAACATACTCGCAGTTACAATATGTTTTGTTTCATTCACACATGTGTGAGTCACTCTTTATTATTAGTCTGTTTACATCTTCAGAGCTCAAAATGCTCCGTTCCACCTTGTGATGTCACGAAGCAGTAGTTTTCAAGTTAAGAACTACTGTAAATTTTAGGTTGTGTTCCATAGAGAATAGCAATTCCAGGTCTCAAGTCATCTAAATGATTCTAGCGAAGGTTAAAGGAGTTTAAAAACACATTGTATTACCACATGACATCACAAGGTGGAAAAGAGAGACAGTTTTCTGTTTGCGAGGCTGTGCAATGGTGATCCAACCCTGCTTTCCTCCTTCTTCTGAAAAAGCTGTTCTAAAATGGTGCATCTGTGTGTAAATTCATGGATTTGATAACTACAACTCGCCAAAGGGTGTGTGAGAGCTGAGAATAAGATGAGATTAGACTGATTTAAATACCTCCCACTTTCTCTGTTTGACAATCACATACCCCAGATTTAAATTTAGTTGTTATATCTCGTTGTAGATGATTTGTCACAGACCTGGGGGGGCAGTCCTGGGTGTTACACGGCACCGGGGAGCTGAGGGGTTTGGGGCGGTGCTGGCACATGGAGGGGGGCACGTCTTTGCCCAGGACAGACACACAGCGAACTCTCCTCAGGTGAGTGCCTCTGCTGCCACAGGACGAACTACACGTGGTCCAATCTCCCAGACGCCAACTGTACTCTGCAAAACAACAACAGAATCAGTAATACAATGTTACACCCATGTTACGCTATTATTATTTTATGATCCATGTTGTTTCCTCATCATAAACATACCGTATTTTTGGACTACAAGTCTTTCATGGTTTGGGTGGTCCTGTGACTTATACTTCGGTGCGACTTCTATATTAACATTTTCACACTGACAGTTACAAGAGGGCGCTCTAAGCTTGTGTGTCAGTATCTGCTACTCCTATTACTCCTGTACCACTGTCACTTTACTCTACTGCGCATGTCTCCCGCAGAAAGAGCCTCTGTCTTGTCTGTATCATGTCAGTTGATCGCACCATTACTTCTGTAACAATGAAAATGTTTAATTTAAGTGACATCCTGTCGGGATTCAGAAAGGCCGGAATAATTCTAACTGGAACTGATGCTGAGTCTGACGACAGCTACACAGAAGAGGAAGTGGTGCTCTGTTTACCTCCGGAGGTTGCGGAGTTGCTCAGAAGTGACAACGAGGATGAAGAATTCAATGGATTTAATGATTTGGAGTGAGATGGAGGGTTTGGTAAACTTGTTCTGTTGTTTATGCTATAGTTATCTGAAGAACTGAATAATATGTTATGTGAACAGTCTGTTGTTCTCTGTTCTATTGTAACTATAACTTGTCTTTTAAGATGAAATGTCAGTTCCTTGTCTCTGATTTTATAAAATAAATCTCCTCCAAAAAGTATGTGTCTTTTGCTTCTTCATTATGCATTTTTTGGATGGTGTAATTTTACTCCGAAGCGACTTATAGTCTGAAAAATGTGGAACCTAGAATTGTGTTTTGTTTCATTCACTAATGTTAAACACACAAATCCTGCATGTTTAGGTTGAGTTCTTCTCTCAAAGAAAACAGTCTGTTCCACCTTGTGATGTCATGTGGCAAAACAGGAAGTGCCCCACTCTGTTTTTTACTTTTTTTACTTTTACACTTTCACTAGAATCATTTGGATAATTTCAGACCTGGAATTGCCCATCTCTAGTAAACAAAAGGTAGCTGTTAACTTGAAAACTAAATCTTCATGACATCACAAGGTGGAAAACAGCATTTTCCATTTTGCTTTGGCGATGAATAAAGCAGAATTACTTAACATCTGTGAATGAAACAAAACACAACTCCAACTATTTTTTTTAATGAGGTAACATTATAACATGACTAAAAGCTGACAAGAGTCCATTTTGCATAATAGTATTGAAAACTTTTAAAAACTTTGAACCTTATTCCATGCGACTACTGGACTAAAACCCCCAAAGACTATATATGATCTCACAGGCCTCTTACAAAAGCTGAAGTTGTTTGTTTGGTTGATTTTGTTTTTGTTTTGTTTGTAATGTTATATCTGTTTATTAATAATACATATATATATCCAAGGTATAAATAAGTCTATTTTATATTCATATATTCATATAATTATTATTGCCAACTTAAAAAAATATATAATACAATTTATCATATAAACTTTAAATTTGTGTCTTCTCTTTCATTCACATACCCTATGGCTCTTCAAAGAATCTTCTTCTGAAACAACTTAATACTGCAGTCAGACCGCCTAGCCAACTACGCGTTACAGTCCATTTTGCATAATAGTATTGAAATGCATGTTTTGGAATTATTATGGGTAAAACATTAAACATATACACTACTTTATTTCTTATCATAATTGGGACTGTCTGAGAAAACTAGACAGTTACTTGGTAATTTGGTATTTCCATGCTGGAAAATCTAAATCATGCCCAACTTGCTATTCTCTAAAAATCTGCAGATAGACCGTACATATAAATGGACATAACTAACACTTTAGCTACTCCCCGATTTTCAGGAGTGTGATCAATATGTTCATGGTCCTGTTTAGGAGTTTGATTTTCAACAAAAAGGTGAGCGTGACCAAATGAAAAACTGTTGGCTCATGCTCTTTAGTTTGTGACTGTATTGTTATCTAACAGGCCTCAGACAGAACAATGCTTACAGTTTGCATCACACCCCCAGGGAATGTTGACGATATCAGCTGCAAAGTATGAATAGCATGCATATGTAAGTATTTCTGTATAGACAAAGAAAGAACATGTGGTGTGGGGGGTCTGGCTTAAAGGGTTAATGTCTAAAAGAGCTGGTTTTGGGCTGTGGATGATGCTTGTGATACAGAGGACAGACTGAAGGACAGATAATTATCTACCCCTACGTCCGATGTGTGTGGGCCTCTCTTTCCCTCTCTCTCCTCGTCCTCCTCTTCGTCTCTCAGAAAGACTCCAGTGAAGGCAAACATGTCATGACTAAACTTCAAAGCCAGTACAAAAAACCAGTGCATGAAATAAATAACAAGCACGAAGCACCAGTCCGCTCACCATTAGGATTCAGGCTGAGTTTGTGGAGTTTGTGGAGAAGGTTAAAGCAGATTTAAAAAGTGAGATTGGTTTCACTAAAAATGAAAATATGACCTTTAACAAGTAGTTCTCAGACAAAAGGAGAGGGAAATCATGAAGAAAATGTTCACATAATACAATCATAACTTTAACCAGATTCTAGGTTATTCAAATTTATTCCACCAACAAATTTAAAGCAGGAGCAAGGGCCTAGTCGGTCCCTCTGGTGTGACGATCATTTACAGATCAAGTGTAGTTCAATATAATAAAAGTCTTGATTGATATCTCTTGGAGTAGATGGGTTATCAGTAATCGGTGGTATTGGTCTGAAATCGAACATTTAGTTGATATTTCACACACATTTTTTCTACACAGCTCCAGTCTAGTTTGATGAGGCTCCTCTCGACGTGGAGAAGCAGCGACTCTACTCCGAGCTCCTCCCGTGTGACTAAGCTCCTCACAGTACTTCTAAGGGAGCGCCCAACCACCCTGCGGAGGAAACTCATTTTGAAACACATGTCCTTTCAGTCATTACCCAAAGCTCAAGACCATAGGTGAGGGTAGGAACGAAGACTGACTGGTAAATCGAGAGCTTTGCCTTTCAGCTCAGGTCCCTCTTCACCACAACGATCCGATACAGCGACCGCATCACTGCAGACGCCGCACTGATCCAACTGTCAATCTCATGCTCCATCCTCCCCTCACTCGTGAACAAGACCCCGAGATACTTGAACTCCTCCACTTGAGGCAGGGGCTCTCTGGTAGTAAGTCAGACCTGTTGCCGGTGCATGTTGGACTCTGCCAGAAGCTGCACTTTATCAACAGTTCTGTTCATTGCATTTATGGACAGAATTTCTGCTGTTTGCAAGGCAAGGCAAGGCAAGGCAAGTTTATTTGTATAGCACAATTCGTACACAAAGTAATTCAAAGTGCTTTACAGAATAAGAAATACATTAAAATCATAATAAAAACAAATCAAACATAAATAATCATGAAGATTAAAATTAAAAAAGAGAGACATAAATTGGAGAGAAGAGTGCGGAATGAAAACCTTTCAGTTATTTGCACAGTTAAACAGAAATGTTTTGAGTCTGGATTTAAACAGCGTCACAGAAAAGGCCTGTCTCACATGTTCAGACTGTTCCAGGTTTTAGCTGCATGAACCTGAAACGCTGACTCCCCTTGTTTAGTTCTGACTCTGGGCACCAGCAGGAGGCCGGTCCCTGAGGTCCTCAGAGTGCGAGATGGTTCATATGACACTAACATGTCACAGATGTACTTTGGTTTGCAGATTATGTTGTCCTGATAACTTCATGAGGCCAGGACCTACACCGTGCACTGGGGCGGTTTTCAGCCGAGTGTGAAGCAGCTGGGTTGAAGATAAGCTCCTCCAAATCTGAGGCCATGGTGCTCGACCGGAAAACGCTGGCTTGCCCACTTTATTGTCCTCTACATTTCCTCCACCATTCAGTCCCATCATTTGCTTGACCGATCTCCCTAATCTTGTTGGTGGTCTTGGTCAGGACTACCTTAGCTGGAAGATTTGACCTATAGTGCATGTTTTGGGTTGATGGGGGAACCCAGAGTCTGAGGAGTTGTTCACGGCTCGCGGCCTGGCTCCGGCTCCTCCTCGCCTGGTGCTCCCCGTTGATTTTGCAGCTTGTACCTTCCGTATTTGCATGTCCTGTGTGGTACTTGACACCTGATTGGTGGGGTGTGGTTCCGTCGCTGTTGGACTGGCGCCGACGTCCGTTGTGCTGTGTTTGGAGGATTGACGTTCCGTTCCTCCAATCCCTTTTCTACACATCTGTCGCCTGGACCAATAAAAGTGGTGTGCGCCTGTCCCTCCTGGCGACTGAACGGCAGTTTCTGTTTGCTACTCTCACTGACAGACGTTCACTAGTTGCCTCCCTTTGTTATTGTGAAGTGTAACCTACAGACACAGGGAGAAGATCCAAACTCGACCCAGAAAGGCCTGGTGAGTCTGGGATCGAACCTGAAATCTTTTTGCTGTGTGCTAGCCACTCATCTACTGTGCCGCACAGTTAAGTACATTTTTACAAAAGTGAAAAGGAAATTTGTGAAGTTCCAAATGCAGAATGTAAGTTAAAGGTTGTATAGAGGATTTTCCAAGGAACGAGAAATCCAGCGACTGTTTGTCCTTTTTCAAATGTTGCGCATGCGTGAAACCACCCCCCCTCCCCTACAGCTCCTACGTAGAAACGCCTCCTCCCTCCTCCTCCTTACGCCAGAAACAGGTTTGTTTACAGCCGGTGCTGCACATGACTTGTAAACAACTAACTACAGTGTTGGTTAGGCAAGACGGAGAAGTGAGGAGCGGGGGGAGCGGGTGCGCGGACATTTCGTTGCGCGGACGAGAAGTGAGGAGGAGGGAGAAGAGCGGAGCAGGAGCAGGGAGAGAGGAGAGAGGAGAGAGGAGAGAGGAGAGGAGAGAGGAGAGAGGAGAGGGGAGTGGTGCGCGGAGATTCCGTGCCCGGAGAAGTGAGGAGCAGGGGGAAGAGTGGATCGGGCAGCGGGGAGAGGAGCAGGAAAGGGGTGCAGAGAAGAGTGCGCGGAGATTCAGTGCGAATGAACTAGCCACAACACGCAGCAGCAAGTGGACTCTTTCTTTGCCTTGAAAATTACATTTTCAGACATAGGATATCGCTTTCTCCTGAAAAACGTTTGTCTAGCTCTTGGAAATAAAGTACGTTTTCATAATAAGCAGAAGTGACCTGTCCAGGAGTAATTTGTGGCGACCAGTACGTCAGTCTTTAGACCCTGCGTCTGCTTCAGTCGCGCCATCGCTGGAATGAATCTACAAGAATCACCTTAGTTTGGCTTCGCTGCTTTTCCCCTTGTCTTCTTCTTTCAGCAACCTCAAAAACGGACTTTCTTTTGCGGCGAACTGCTCCTGGATTCTTGTCGCCATTGCAAACAAACTTTGTGCGAACTGCGAGGAAGATATAGGTCAAAAAAAGCCGCTAAGAACTGTTGCGTTGGTGGAGTAAACAGCGTCTGTGCGTCTTGCGTCTGTGGACTGCGTGACAGGCGTACGTAAACCACGTACCGGCGGCGCGCAGGCAAGTCAGTTACGCTAGAAACGTAGGGAGTTTGATTGACAGCCTGTCAGCTCACAGATAACGAGGCAGTGTCGTTATCTATTGGCAAATGTTTAGCCCCACCACGTCCAGAGTTGATGAATTTTTATTCTCTTTTTTTTGGTCATCATAATTACAAGGCTACTGCATCTCTATAATGCTATCATTGACAACTTGAAACAAAAAAAAATCCTCCATACAACCTTTAATATTAACGTCTTTCTGAATTTTTTTACACAGAGGGACATCAGTCTGGTCACTGTGTCACAAGAGGACCCCGAAAAAGACAGAAAAAGAGAGAAAAGAGAAAGGAAAGTCAATATTCTCGTTCAGGCCAAGGGAGTTTGTTGCCTAAAGGATTCTTTACAAAAGGTTTCTCTTTGAGTTTTCAGTCTGTCTCCACCCTTAATCTTCTTTTTGCAAAACATGTGTCTTTCAGTTAATTAATACAAAGTTGAATAGGGATATTTTCAAGGACAAGGAGCAAAGCAAAAATAATGAAGGACATGGCGAGAGTAAGCAAGGAAACATGTATTCACTCAAAAGGCAAGCAGCAAGCAGCTCGTCTATTTTGTCATAGTTTTTGCACACTGTGGTTGATTATATAACATCTGTGTGTACCTTGTGAGTGGACGTAGATCCAGGCTGTGAGCGGATGTCTGCTGGAGCTCAGGAGCGTCTCACACTGGTACCGCCCCGAGAATTGGCCCTGGACTGTGCTGACCTCCAGGGCTCTCCCTCCGGCCAGAACCTGGTACTGAGGGACAGAGGGGCGGCTGGGATGGGCCCCCTCCGCCAGACTCTGGTTGTTGAAGTACCAGCGCACGGGCATGGTGTGGTGAGGTACTACTGGGCATCCTACATGGAAAAGAAAATCATCCTATCAGTAACTGCACATGTTTTTAATGGATATGTCATTGCTCTGCCTGAAATGTTCCACAGTAAGACTTTAAACAGCTCTAAATTATATTTATTCTATTACTTGCGGTTTTGTAGCTCAAAAATACCTAGAAAATCAGGCATTCTAATTGTGAATGAGGTTGCCTCTCCACAGATCTGGCCTGTAACTTGGTCTGGTTTGGTCTTCGTGGAGATTAGGGGTGTGCAAAAATACTGAAATATCGATATAGCATGTCGTTTAATGTGATGATACAGTATCGATATCATGGGCTGCTGTATCGATATTTTGGCAAGAGTATTTTTTGGTATATTTTACTAAATAATTTTGTTACAGTGCTGCAGTTTTTTGCTTGTTTAGTGGAAGAAACTCATTTATGCCACACATTTGACATTTTCACTGTTTTGATGATTAAAATGTGTTTTTCACATTAACTTTGCACAAGAAGTGATTTAACAAAGACTTTTAGTATCACAGCTGTGAATTTAGCTATTATTTTTTTATTGAACTGTATTGAATCAATTGAAATATATCAAAAGTGCACTGTATCGAGATATGTATCGTATCATGGCCTATGTATTGAGGTATGTATCATATTGACAACTTCTAAATGTACCCAGCCCTAATAGAGATAGAATGGTTTAATACCATACTGTGGTACTAAAAGTTACACAATGCATCTTATATTTAATATATATGTGTGTAAATCAATCAATCAATCACTTTATTTGTATAGCACTTTTCATACATTTGAAATGTAGCACAAAGTGCTTCACATGCAACAGAAAAATTACAATACAATAATTAAAAACAGCAGCCCCCCCACCCCATTGTTTCATCCATTTATACAACAATTTAAACATAAACATAAAAACATAAACATAAAGCAGCTCTTAGGGTCCAAATAAGACTGTGATGTCCTGTTTCCATCTAACTATAAACTATTTTATTGTCTGCAAACCAGGAAGGCTGCAGTTAGCATGCTGTTTGTTGTTAGTTGTTAGTGATGTAAAGCTGTTTAAAACTGAACCAGTTCTGCCTTTCACATTTTTAACACAGTAAAAATAAGATACAGAATCAGAGGTCAAATAGTTTTTTTCTGGTATTGTAAACCTGTTGCAAACTGCTGTTTCAGCCTTGGGCCAAAAATCAAATCGATTACTGGATTATGACATTAAACAGTGGGACCAATCAAATAGAGCTCTTGCGAATGATCTTAAATCAAACATGAGCAAATTAAACAAGACACATCTTCAGGTATGTTTCAGGAGAAGATTTAATTCTAGTATTACTAAATGTTAACCCCTTAACGCCGACGACGCCACAAATATGCAACAAACTGTTTGGATCAAGATATAAAGCTGAGACAGTGGATGCAGTCTCCAAATAGTGCATATACAGGACCTTCCTAGGAACTTTTGGCAAGCACTTGTTTATAGTTGTCGGAAATTTGCAACATACCCAAATTTCTTTTTATTTATCTATTTTTTTCTGTAGTCAAATTAATAATCTCAACTTAATTTACCATCTACTTAAAGGCAAATATACGTCTATATAAAGTCAGGTGTTAAGGGGTTTTATAAAAAGTTATCATAAGTTTTGAAACCTCTTACATTTTCAGTAGAATCGTGTGGATTTTTTCAGACCAGGAATTGCCAATCTCTACTGAACAAAATGTAAAAGGTTGGTGTTAACTTGAAAACCACAGCTTCACGACATCACAAGGTGGAACAGACCATTCTGACCTTTGGAGACGTAGCCAGACTAAAAATAAAACTACAGAAAAACTTTAACGAAACACAACTCCAGATATATTCTTGGAGACAAAAACATTATAACATTGCTAAAACCTCACATGAGTCAATTTGTATAATACAGGACCTTTAAAAAAAAGTAAAAAATCACGCATCAGGCTCAAAGAGAAACTATAATTGCACAGATGCAGATTGTGTGATTGTAGTAATAATGGGATTTGTTTGAGACTCTAATGTAAAAGTCTCATTACATTTTGAAGAACATAATTAGGATAATGAATGCACCATAAGATCTGTAATTAAAAATGAATGGGACAATGTAGGATAAATACCACTCAAGGCTCATTGCTTCCGCATTAGTAACAGATTGAAGACGCTACAAACAGGATTCCCAAGAAAATCCTTGTTATAATGAATATACAATTACAGTCCTCTTCGTTGTTCAAGTGTGAGGTTGAACGTGTTGCGTTCAAGTGACACTGAAATTATCAAAACTGCCCAAAGTTTAAAAGTGCATTGTGCATCTTTTCTGTTTGAGGGTCCGTCAAATAACTTTCTCCGCGGAGATGTTATCGCTTTGTCTGGAATGTTTCACAGTATGACATTAAATCTTTCTATCTTCATGGAGACCGAACCCAGACCAAGTTACAGGTATGATCCGTGTAAAGGCGACCCTGCTTAGAGTGAACAGTCAGAATACCTGTTTTTCTAGGTATTCTTGAGCTCTAACACCACCTGTAATTTAATAAATGTAAGGTAGAGCTGTTTAATGTCATACTGTGGAACATTCCAGACAGAGCAATGACATATTCAAAGAAAAAAAAAACAAACAGGTAATGATCTCTCAACCGAAAAGTGACATGGTGCACCTTTAAAATTGAAAAAAATGATCTTTTAACTGTCTCTGTGTAGATGTTTTGACCTGGCTTGTATTCAGTTTTTCTGTATTTACTGGGCCTATCCACATGAAACAAAAACTGGCATACAGTTTAAAGTCATCTTTATCAGCACAAATTAACTAAGTTTGGATTATATATTTCACAATAGTTTCAAAATCACAAAGGTGCCAGTTTAAGGTTGTCAGTTTAAACATATTCAAGTCATATTAATTTGGTAAATATGTGGACCCAATCTCAGACTTATTTTTATTATTTTTTTTAATATTTCTTCCAAAAACTAAGAATTCACCTTAGAACTTGTATAGACCCTCAATCAGAAACTATGACATAAAAAGCCAGATGACCAGACTATTTTGAATGTTGGAGTATTTTCCTATAACCTATTGTATACAGCTGAGATATATTTGTGCTATTTTTTTTTATTTACTTGTGCACATGCGTTTATGTTAGGGATGGGCATTCGATGAAATTTTCTTAATCGATCGTCGGAAGAATTAACGATTAACGATTATCGATAAATCATTAACGTGTTTATATTAAAATGATCATCATTATTATTACTATCTGCACTACTAATCTGCATACATAAATTCAACTTTACGACATATAAACCGTAACGACTCTAGAGCCACATCAGCCCGTTTGACATTATAATGTGTTTAACGCAGTTTTGCGCAACTCTCACAAAAACGAAACTTAAAACCACATCGCTAATTTGCATAAACTAAGTGAAGATAAAACTACAGCTCTTGTGTCGCTGATGCGGTCAACTTCTGTTGGATTAAAAGACATGACTCAGTGGAATACAGGTTAGTGTGACCAGATTTGCGTTTGTCAAAACCAGGACACCGTACGGGAGGTGGGAGATGGGGACTCGTCACCTGGCAAAACTTTTTCCCACTGGACACCGAAACATATGTGCTGCTTTGTAAACTGTGCACATGGACTCACACTTGTCCCGAACGCAACGGAAAGCGTGGAATTTCTTGTACAAGTCATCGTTAAATACACATTTGCGTTGCAGACTGACCGACTGTTTGTGTTTGCTCGCTCCTTCTGAGTGCAAAGAGACTACATGTACAGACCCTGTTTGGTCACGCTACGCACAGCAACCTACATTCGGTTTGTCGATTAAAATGAACGTAATCGATGAAATTCTTAATGATCAATTATCGATTAATCGATTAATCATGCCCATCCCTAGTTTATATAGTGTCAAATAATGATGCTGTATTTGACACTTAGTCTCTTGCTATGTTTGCTACTTATTTAGAATTCATTATTACCATTTATATTTTTATTCTGTGTTATTATATTATATTGTGATGCGTGAGCTACTGTGTCCAAAAAATGTCCCTTGTGGATCAGTAAAGTTTGTCTAAGTTTAAGCCAATGCAAGTAAATAATGTCAGTTTAAACAATTAAAGATACAGTATTTTTCGGACTATAAGTCGCAGTTTTTTTTCGTGGTTTTGGTGATCCTGAAACTTATATATAAATATTTTCAGACTGACAGCCGCTCTAGGCTTGTGTATCAGTTTTCTGAACATGTCTCCTGCAAAAAAAGCCGCTGTCCTGCTGCAAGTAGTGAACTATGCAGCAGAAATTGGTAATCGAGCAGCAGAAAGAAAGTCTGGAATGAGTAAGGAACTTGTTTGGGACTGGCGGAAAGCGGGAATGGAGAACACAGCTTCACGGCAAATGGGAGGATCTGCAGTGCAACTTTCCTGGAAGTTACTGGATGACGAAGCATGGACTTCAATGATAACTGAAGTTGCGCGGAGCTGCTCAGAAGTGACACGGAGAATGAAGAATGCAATTGATTCAATTGATTTAGTGACTTGGAGTGAGATGGAGAGTTTGGTAAACTTATGTTGTGTTCTGTTGTTTATGCTCTAGTTCTCTGAATAACTGCTAATATGTTACATTAATATATTAATACCTATTCAGACTGTTGTTTTTTATTCTATTGCTATTATTATAATTTGCCTCTCAAGATGAAATGGTTCCTGGTCTCTAATTTTATAAAATAAATTTCCCCCCAAAAGTGTGACTTATGCATGTTTTTTTCTTCTTCATTGTGCATTTTTTTTTAAATACAGTAAATAAGATTACTATGGCAAATGTATGGACCCAACAACTGACCAGTAATTATAAGTTGTTGTTTTTTTAATATTTATTCCAAAAAATGAGATTTGGCTCCTTCATTGAATCAGAAATTATAACATAAAAAAGGTAAAATAGACTTTTGTCCGGCTGACAAAATGAATTTCTCCTTTGCCATGGATCCTACCTGGACAACTAAAGGATTTTACACATAAAAAAGCCACACGATCAAAGTTAGTGCCATATGAACCCTCTTGCACTCTGAGCAGCTCAGGAACTGGCCTCCTGCTGCTGCCAAGAGTCAGGATTAAACACGGGGAGTCAGCGTTTCAGTTTTATGCAGATAAAACCTGGAACAGTCTTCCTGAAGATGTGAGACAGACTCTACTCTGAATGTGTTTAAATCCAGGCTCAAAAATGTAAAGTCACTCTCTTTTTTAAAATTTTTATAATGATTATGTATGTTTTGATTAGTTTGTATTGTGATTTTAATGTATTTCTTATTCTTTAAAGCATTTTGAATTACTTTGTGTACGAATTGTGCTCTACAAATAAACTTTGCTTTACCAGTCTCTTTTGAATGTGGGTGTGTGTTCAGTACGCATGTCCTTAAGTAAAATAAAATGATTGAACAAAAAGAAAGAAATAATAACATATCATTTCAGGCCATCACAAACAATTTACCTATCCTGAGGGCCTCTCCGGGGCGGATGTAAACACTGGTTCCTCGGCTGGACGCCATCAGCAGCCTCCTCCAGTTCAGCTCTTCAGACAGGGCGGAGCGGCTCTCACTCACACGCGACAGGGGGGCTAAGGACACAACGGATGAAACTGGATCAGACATTTTGCTGTTTTTAAATAAAAAATTATATTGTGTATGCTACATGTGTTTTTATCTTTAACATTTATTTGATATACAGTTAAGTTTTTATAAATTAATTTAACTTTGAATCCTAAATTGCAACAACTCCTGCCATAAAGTTTCATTGACAAAAGCGGAGGTGGAGACTTGTAAGTCATGACTTGGACTCGAGTCAGACTTGAGTCACTATTTTCAGGACTTGAGACTTGACTTGATAAAATAGGCTAAGTCTTGGGACTCGACTTGGATTTGAAGGTCAGTGACTTGAGAAGACTTGATGATTTTTCTAAAAAAATAAATGTTTTTATAAAATACCTGAATAGCTGAATTTTACAGGAACAAACTGGAACATGTCGCTCCCACTTCTTTGTTTGTTACTTTGGATGTAACTGAAGTACAGTGATCTGGTATCCTCAAATGTACTACAGTAATATACATTACAACACAGTAAAACCGAAGGAACTACACAGAACATAATCGTTCAATTTCAGTGAAGACTATTCGACAAAATAACTGTTATTAAGCACTTTTAAATCTGAATTCCTTCTTTTCTGACAGTAATGATTCACACTAAGATCTTGTCAAGACATTTAAAAAGGAAAAATTTGCATTTCTAGAACACTTATATAAATACTCATACAAGTATACCAAGACTTTAAGTACAATTTAATTTAAAATTCATATAAATTGCAAAAATCTAAGATTTTAAACTTTTTTGGTTTAAAGACTTGAAATGAGTTGAAGCTCAAAGCAGAAGACTTGGACTTGACTTGGACTTATGGACCAGTGACTTGAGACTCGACTTGGACTTGCCTGTATTTGACTTGGTACGTGACTCGGACTTGAGGTCAAAGACTTGAGACTTACGTAAGACTTGCAAAACAACGACTTGGTCCCACCTCTGGGCAGAAGTATTCAAACTCGTGCCATTTACTCCCAAATAACTTTCAAAAATTTAGACTTAGTTTCTACTCAAGACGATGAAAATTAACCATTTAAACTTTGTTTAAACTATGTAACTTTTTTGCTTTTCTCTACAATATAGCTTTATATTGCAAAAAAAACAAAGGTAAGGTATGGAAACAGGTAAGTTTAATGCCATACTGTGGAATATTCTGGGAACGCAATAACATCTTCATGAAAACAAGTAGGTGGCGGATCCTAAGAGAAAAGTTACATAGAGCATCTTTAAAGTGAGTCTGAGAGCGTTCTGAATCTACTGTATGTACGTTCCCTTTTTGCCCCTCACTTCTCACCATAGTAATACTTAATTTAGTTTAGTGAGTTAGTTTTACTCTTGCCTGGTTTCTGTGGGTCCACGTGCAGGACAGTGGAGGCGATGGATTTCCCGATGGAGTTGTTGGCGAGGCAGCAGTATGTGCCCAGATCTGACAGAGACACGTTTCTGATCCAGAGAGAACCAGAGGAGAGGGGCACCGCTCCGGGGGGCAGAGGGCGGCCTCTCCTCAACCAGGTCACTGTGGGCCGGGGGAAGCCTGGAAATCAAAAATGCAATGGAGTCAATATTTAACAAATCACGATATCAAGGTTTAACATTTGTGGGCAATAAGCATAGTCCAGACGGCTTCAACAGGGAGGTTGTGAAATCTTTGGTTGATCAGACTTTTTTAAAATATATTTCTTAATTTTTGAAGGATGAGGACGAACTGTTTTTTATCACATCATGATGGCTCCTTCATCAAATCTACCTCTGTTTATCTCTCTTCATCCCCTTGTCTCTTGCTCCCTGTCAAACTGCAAACACGTCAAGTCAGATTTTATTGTTTCTTCTAGGCTGTGAAAAGCTCCGTTACAGCTTTACTTTTATGCACAGTGCAACTTATGCTCCGCACGTACTACCATGCATTGGAAAGAGGTGAGGCAACTTCATTCCCCAGCTTCATTAACCAGGCTCCGCACTATGCAGCCCGCCTCCTCTCTGTCCACGGAGCAAACAGGAGAGGAGAGGAGTTGTGTTGTTCCTCTCGCTCCTCAAACGACCCGAAAAGTTCCATGGTCCATATCAAACTCTTGTCCCTGCGCGCTGTGACTCCTCTCTCATTTAATCAGATCATTAAAAAAGCCACACTTTGAGCCCATTTTCCTTGATGTCGTTGCCCCATTGCTCTGACCTCATCAGAGTCACCGCAAGCGCATGAAGTGTATCTTAAACTTCAGGCCTGAATTAGCTTTGATCAGACTCAGGCTTATTTCTGTCATGGAACGAGTTGAGGCTTAAACTGGAGATGGAGCTAGTTTCATCTCAGGATTTCAGGATAAGCCTGGACTTGTTAAGCGACTTCAATGGAAGATATGTTTATACAAGATACTAGGCCCAATTTAATATAAAACACTACTGTATGCCATTTTATATAGTAGGAGGTCTCTGCTCCAGCTCTCCATCATATAGGAAGTGAACATGGGGTGCTTCTGGATCCTTCTGACCGTGCTTCTAATTGACTTACACTGGAATATTGTCACCCCTTCTCTCTTGGTCTTAAAATGTTTGTATTAAAAGCTCCGCATGATCCTGGTGTTTTTTTATTTCGTCATTTAGTTTGTTAATAAACTCCTATTCTCTCCTGTAACTGCTAGCCCCATGAGCTTCATTTGACTGGAACCGAACGCTATAGGTAACATCACACTCCCTTAGACCACTTCTTTATACAGTCCACGGCAAAAAGTATGGAGATTCCTTTCAAAAACAGTGAATTTCCCACAGAGTTACACAGCAAGAAAGTGAACGCGACCTATTTTGAAAACTTAAATACTCTATTATTCTCTCTTCTATTATTATAAGGAGTACCCTCAGGCTTTGTGTGTAATATTATTGTAGTAATAATAACAATAAACACGTACCGTCGTTTGTAATTAGTATCCTATGATCTATGTAATGCACATACCAGAAGTGGGGCAGTCCAGGGTGAGGTTGGCCCCCTGCTGGACACTGACGGTAGCGCCCACAGTGGCTCTGATGCTCTGTCCCAGCACGACTCCGTGGTCTGTGGCGTTCCTCCAGGACACAGAGATGGCTGGAGGTACTGGGAGGGGGCAGAAGCACATTACAAAACTCGTAAAATATTATACTTTATTTTAAAATACTCAAGATTTGATTCAAAATACTCTTGAGAGCCTAAGTCAGCAGCTAAACAAATGCTGGGACTGTGGATGCTTTTACAAGGTGGGGAAATAATTCAAGGGTAATTTGATAACACAATAATTAGATTTGATTTTTTGTGATTTTTTTGTGTGTTCATGTGCACAAACGAAATCTGATCAAAAGCACCTGGTGACGTTTTTGAGAATTTGCAGATTTTTTTTTTGTATTTGGACAAAGTACATTTAATTTTTTACAGCTCTTTGAATATTTGTCTTCTTTTTAGCATAATTTCTCTTGTCAACTATCAGAAATAAAACATATTACTCAAATAAGATGTGAATATTTACATGGAATTTAAAGAATCTTAAATAATACTCCAGAAATCAGAATCTTGGTGTAAACACTGCTATTGTAACAAGAGAATTTCATGACATTCATCTTGATCATATGGGGAAATATTTAATAAAGTAAATAAATCAGTGTATAAATTGTGTTCCTCACCTGCCACCCTGAGTGTAGAGGTCTCTGAGTCTGACCCGTGGATGTTGCTGCAGATGCATTTGTATTGCCCCTGGTCTGAGGTTCTCAGCTGGACGATGTGGAGGCCGTCACTGTCCCACCAAACTCTGGACATACACAAATATAACAGAAACAATTAAAAAACCTACCAGCTCTCACATTTTCTTTTGGAACATCAATAGATTTCGTTCATGTTTTTCAGACCAAGAGTTTGTTTTCATACCTGACAGTTTCACTCGTGGGCTTCTTCAGAGTCATGTGATGTTGCTGTGACGTGTTCGCTCAGCTGATTTAAACAGGTTTAGGCGCTGTCTTAATACCGGTGGAGGCAGGACGACAGCGCCATCTGCGGTCCGACTTCCTCAGGACAGTATCCCAGGTGTGTGAGAGTAAAAAAAGCCCCCTCGTCCTGGTTTATCGTCCCATGGGCACGTTTTCGTATTTCGATTGCCTCTTTAATCCAATGACAGAGTTTGTTTTCTTCTGGCCCAATGATGTTTGCTCCGTCCATGTCCATAATGTGGTTCTCTCTTTTTCAGTGCTCAGAAATGGCTGACTTGAGTTGTTCCTGTTCTGCTTTGTGTTCACCTTCGCTGTTTCTTTCTCGCATTCTGTTCTATGTTCCTTTTTTCGTGTGCTGAACGCCCTCCCTGTTTCCCCAATGTACGTTTTATTGCAGGACATGGACATGCGGGGTATTTCATATATGACATTACATTTATTCTCCGGTTCTATTTTGTCCGGGATGATAAACCGGGACGAGGGGGCTTTTTTACTCTGACACACCTGGGATGCTGTCCTGAGGAAGTCGGACTGCAGATGGCGCTGTCGTCCTGCCTCCACCGTTAGGAAGACAGCGCCAAAACCTGTTTAAATCAGCTGACCGGACATGTCACAGCAACATCACATGACTCTGAGGAAGAGCGCTAGTGAGCAGTCGAAACTGTCAGGTATGAAAACAAACTCTTGGTCTGAAAAAAGAACCTAATAACATAAATTATCGGAAGACCAAATGAACCTCATTGGACTATTGTTTTTTTCTGTCATGTCATGATCTTATGTAACATATAATACTCCCTACAACTGTACAATGACTCACCTTTATATAACGGGTAACCCTATGTCCTGTCAATCATCATATCATTGTTGCACTGTTTTCCTATGAACTCTTGTATATAACTGTGATTTTATATTTTATTACTTTACATTTATATAATTATGCTTTAATTGACATCTGTATCTTGCTACCTTTTTTTGCTACTTATTTAAAATGTATTATTACATTTATATTTTTACTCTTTGTTATTATATTATATTGTGATGTGTGAGCTACTGTGTCCAAATAATTTCCCTTGTGGATCAATAAAGTTTGTCTAAATCTATCTCAGCTTTTATGCCTCTAAGGGAGAATTAAACGATTGATATTTTACAGTGACTCGGTGCTGGGGGCGTTCTACGTGTATCTCTAATGGTGGAACGTTTAGGAGTTACCATGGTGACACAACGCACACATTAGGAAACACTGTCAAAAATGTTTTTAAGATTGTCTGAAAACTCAAGAAAAAAAAACAAAAAAATGGATTTGAACAGCACATTTTCAGAAGCCTGTGATCAATACGAGTGTTCACGGTCCGGTTTAGGAGTTTGGTTTTCAAGAAAATGTTGAGTGTGAGTAACTAAAAATGCGAGCTAGTGACTGTAATTTTATGTGTGAGAGTCTTTTTTAACCACAAAAATCAGCTCGCATGTTGTATTTCCAGCTAGGACAGCTCCTTATGTGCAGTTTGTTTTAAAATAAAGCTCAGATTAAAGTCTAATAAAGCCTCAGACAGAGCAGAGCCTACAGATAGCATCAAACCCCCAGGAAATGTTGATGACACCACCTGAAAAGTATCAATCAGCATCCGAGAACATTCAGAAGAGAACCTATAAAACATACATCAGAAAATACTTAGAATAATCAGATCAGTGGTCTCCAACCTTTTTCCTCTGGTGAGCTCCTTTACAAAACAAGAAATTGAGAAAGTATTTATTTTATCATGATTTATTTTACGATATATTGTGATGGAAAATCACGTAGTGGAAAGATTTCTCTCAATCTGTCTTTTTGTAAATGAATGTGGTTTCTATCTTAGACCAGATCAGTCATTAACATTTGTAAAGACTCGGCAGACACAACTGTTCCCACCCTCAGGAAACCCCTGTCCTAAAATCTAAGGAAGCACAGGTAGTTTTAGCACAAATCTGTGAAACAAAAGTCACTCTGCTTTGATATGTATGTAACTTGTATTTCTGTATAAATACTTAGAGCTCAGATGCTCTGGGGAAGATATCGTATTTTTCAGACAATAAGTCACATTTTTTTTCACGGTTTGGGTGTTTCCTGCGACTTATACTCTGTTGTGACTTTTATATTAAAATTTTCACACTGACAGCCTCGAGAAGGCTGCTCTAGGCTTGTGTGTCAGTACCTGCTACTTTTATTATTCCTGCACCACTGTCACTTCACTCTACTGCGCATGTCTCCTGCAGAAAGAGCCTCTGTCCTGTCTGTATCATCAGTCGATCGCACCATTACTTCTGTACCACTGATAATTTAAAAATTAAACAAACATAAAGACAACCGAAACCATCCTGTCGGGATTCAGAAAGGCCGGAATAAGTCTCACTGGCACTGATGCTGAGTCTGACGACAGCTACACAGGAGAGGAAGCGGCGCTCGGTTTACCTCCGGATGTCGGAGTTGTTCAGAAGTGACACAGAGGATGAAGAATTCAATAGATTTAGTGACTTGCAGTGAGATGGAGAGTTTGGTAAACTTGTTCTGTTCTGTTTTTTTTATGTTATAGTTTATCTGAAGAACTGTTCATATGTGACGTTAACAGTCTGTTGTTCTCTGTTCTATTGTTTTTACTATAACTTGACTTTCAACATGAAATATCAGTTCCTGGTCTCTGATTTTATAAAAATTTCCCCCTAAAAATGTTGTTTTTTTCTTCTTCATTACACATTTTTTGGCTGGTGTGACTTATACTCTGACTGGAGCAACTTATAGTAAAAAAAATACAGTACTCGTAAGAGGGAGAGAAGGGGTGACTGGAGAGAGGATATTCGGGAGAGACTACAGGTCTCTGGCCAGGGCAGAGTCCTGTCCATATCTGCTCTAACAAGAATAAGCCTTTGTTTGTATTCCAAAAACTCACTGGGCTTCGCAAATGAATTAATTATTTATCATCAAGAGATACATAATTTTTTCCACAACAATATTCTATACTATAATTTAAAAAAGTATAAATGTACAAGAATAAATATTAGGTATTCCAGTCTTTAAAAAATAATTGTACTGAAAAAAAAAAATAAAATCAGAGCCTAACACCATCTGCAGTCACTCAGAGATGAACGTGACTAATTTCTGTCATGCAACAAATGTTTTATACGTAGTAGTCAGCAGCAGCAGCAGCAGTATTTCAAGTTAAATAAAAGGTCAGGCCAGCAGAGTTTCATAGTTATTCTGTACAGTACATCGAGACTGGAGCGAATGAGACACTGCGTTTCCGAACTGCAAAGTGTAATGGCTCTATCTGCGTCTGGCTCACAGTGAGATGTCTTCCTCTCACTTTGACTTTTCTAAAGCTTTTTTTCTTTTTCTCAAGTGGAGGATTCACAGAGCAGAGTGGCATTTACACAGTTAGCAAAAAAATAAAAAAACAGCACCTCAGAGATAACAGGACTTCCACCGCGTTTGATCCACATGAGCCAGACGGAAATGTCCAATGTTTTTTTTTTAACCTGCATTTTCATTTGGAATAAACGTAAATAACATGTCTTGGTATAGACTGGTGGAAGTGTATCAATGTAAACTGAATAGCATGACTGAACCTACAGCACTATTTATAGAGTCAATCAACTTGTTAAGATAAAAAGTCCACCATGTTGCCACCACATATAAAAGTTCACTGGATTTATCTCTTTAAAGTATGTTTCACAAACTTTTTTTCTGGGGACCCATATTTTAAAAGTTCCAAACATTCGCAACCCAAGACATTATTCGTAAATCACAAAGTAAAGATGGATTTGACATTATTCATCGTGTCTCTCTGACTCAAGTTTTAAACAATGAAAAAAAAACAGCAATAAAAAACAGCAAAGGATCCATAAGTTGCCGATTTGGACTTTTTTTCTTTTCAACATTCAATTGAACCAGCAACATTGGAAAAAAATAGTCAATAAAATCATTAAAAAAAAATTGAATTTATAAAAAACATGTCTTAACATAGTTTATCATTTCTAATGATGGTGGGCCTGTCTGCGTTTTTGGAGCTTGTTCCAGTCCGGGGTGCAGGAGGAGAGAGCAACACGCAGATCAGATGTAGCATTCAGTCTGTTTCTGTGCTTTGTTTTCATTTTTGTGAGCACAGAAAATTCCAATTCACACATATATACATAGCAGTGAAAGGAATAAGCATAGAAATACTGGCTCTACTGGGGACAGGATATTCACTCGCTCTCTCATGTCTCAGAACTGTGTACTGCATGTAGGTCTGCAATATACATACATCTTCTCACAACTCCCGCTCCTCACTCCTTCTCCATGCACAGACTCTCCGTGCAGCCTCCCCACTCCTAACTTCTCCTCGCACCCTCCCTGCTCCTCACTTCTTCTCCGTGCATGGAATCTCCACACACCCTACACGCTCCTCACTTCTTCCCTGCACACCCTCCATGCTCCTCACTTCTCCACACACCCTACACGCTCCTCACTTCTTCTCCTCGCACCCTCCTCGCTCCTCACTTCTTCTCCGTGCATGGAATCTCCACACACCCTCCTCGCTCCTCACTTCTTCTCCTCGCACCCTCCTCGCTCCTCACTTCTTCTCCTCGCACCCTCCACGCTCCTCACTTCTTCCCTGCACACCCTCCCTGCTCCTCACTTCTCCACACACCCTCCTCACTCCTCACTTCTTCTCCGTGCATGGAATCTCCACACACCCTACACGCTCCTCACTTCTTCCCTGCACACCCTCCCTGCTCCTCACTTCTCCACACACCCTCCTCACTCCTCACTTCTTCTCCGTGCATGGAATCTCCACACACCCTACACGCTCCT